GGAAAGGACTTTACGACTTTATCCATTTTTTCACTCTGTGGGTTTTTTTCCTACCTAAAACACAGGTGTGCCATCAGTAAAACACCGCTTTTTAGGAAGTGAAGAGTAAGTCCAGACAATGCCTTCCATAAGCACCAGTGGCAGTAAATAATTCTTTCTGATATGGGTTCCCTAAAACACTGAGTTTCAGTTAAAAAAATGACAAAAATAAGAAAGGAAGGCTGCCCTATCACTGTTTTAGTGTTACAGAGACAGCATTTTTTTATTATTTTGTGGACTTTTCAGCCACTTTCACATTTTCAGCAGGTTTTAGTGCAGAAACTGTATTTTAGAGAAGGTGGTGGAAAATCAGCCCTGGCTCCTAATAGAGATGTTCTCTGCAGAGGCTGCCTTCACCACAACTTGTGCATCTGCAGTCTGTTGGGAAAGATAGAAGGATGTCTTTAGAAAAGGCTACTGAAGAGTAAAAGAGCTGGATCCTCTTTGAACTAGTCCAGGAGTTCCTGCCCAAACCCTGTATCAGCTGAGGTCTATCAGCTTAACACTGGAAAACCCTCTGACAGGATGGATAAGAAACACCAAGCCCCTGTGCTAAGCTATGAAAGTCACCCCCCAGAAAAATGCAGCTTCACATCCCAATACTTGCTGCCCAGGAGGAATGCTGGAAGAAGCCCACCCTGTGGATCTCAGGATGCTGCAGATGCTAACGGGGAGATGCAGGGGGCATTTTTGAGACCCTGCAGAAGTATTTTCAGGTTTTACAGGAGGAGGACGGTGTAAACTGTTGAGAACACACTGGATACCGTGAAGAAAGGCAGCCTGCGTACTGCCACTGAAGCTGTTGAGGCCCATGTTGAGGTAGTTGCGATGTGTGAAACATTTTGCTGCTGAAGGAATTCCACAGCAAAAAAAAAAAAAAGTAGGGACAGAAAGATTTAAGAGCTTATTGTGGTTTGATTTATCACTTCACCATGCGTTACTTCACTGCCAAAAGGAAATTCTTCTTTTTCTCATTACTGAAAGATCATTCAAGACCTTGGGAAGAACATTTGTGTTCGTTATCTCCAGTAGCCAGCTAGGCCACAACCAATTTATGGGATTGCTTGGATGTTTGAAGTCATCCACACAGAAAGATTTGGGGAAAATGGCTCATATCATGAACGACAAAGACCATTGAGCACATGGAGTTTGTCTTTGCCAGGGAAGGGCACTCAGTCCTCTCAATGCCCATTCACCAAATGCTGAGGAGCTGGAGGAAAAATCCCCCATTGCTACTTATGTACTAGTTAGCAAGTACATAACTAACTCACTTAACTAGCTTGCTAACAGTTAGTTAATGCTGTTACTGGATTTTGCTGCAAGCCTCAAGTTACAGGGTATTTCTTCCAGCAGGAGTAATGTGAGGTTTCCATCTTAACACACAGCTCCCCTTCTGATTTTGTTTCCTCTTATTAAATAATGAAGAAACCTTACAAATTTGAAAGGCATAAATAAAAGCCTCTCAGCATTTATTTTAATGCTGCATCATAACCTCCTGAGACCCAGGATGCACTTTTGGGGGTCATTTTACAGTATCACAGTGTGCTAGAGATTGAAAGGGACCTCAAAAGATCATCTAGTCCAATCCCCCTGCCGGATCAGGAACACCTAGATAATGTTACACAGGAATGTGTCCAGGCGGGTTTTGAATGTCTCCAGGGAAGGAGACTCCACAACCTCCCTGGGCAGCCTGTTCCAGTGTTCTGTCACCCTCACTGAGAAGTTTCTTCTCAAGTTTAAGTGGAACCTCTTGTGTTCCAGTTTGTACCCATTACCCCTTTTCCTATCATTGTTTGCCACTGAGTAGAGCCTGGCTCCATCCTCGTGACACTCCCCCTTTATATATTTATATACACTAATAAGGTCACCCCTCAGTCTCCTCTTCTCTAAACTATAGAGACCCAGCTCCCTCAGTCTTTCCTCATAAGGGAGATGCTCCACTCCCTTAATCATCTTTGTTGCCCTGTGCTGGACTCTCTCCAGCAGCTCCCTGTCCTTCTTGAACTGAGGGGCCCAGAACTGGACACAATATTCCAGATGGGGTCTCACCAGGGCAGAGTAGAGGGGAAGGAGGACCTCTCTCGACCTACTACCCACCCCCCTTCTAATACACCCCAGGACGCCATTGGCCTTCTTGGCCACAAGGGCACAGTGTTGGATCATGGTCATCCTGTCGTCCACTAGTACCCCCAGGTCCCTCTCCCCTACACTGCTCTCTAACAGGTCGTTCCCCAACCTATACTGGAACCTGGGGTTGTTCCTGCCCAGATGCAGGACTCTACACTTTCCCTTGTTATATTTCATCAAGTTATTCCCTGCCCAACTCTCCAGCCTGTCCAGGTCTCGCTGGATGGCAGCACAGCCTTCTGGCGTGTCAGCCACTCCTCCCAGCTTAGTGTCATCAGCAAACTTGCTGATAGTACACTCAATTCCCTCATCTAAATCATTGATGAATATATTAAATAATACTGGTCCCAGTACTGACCCCTGAGGCACTCCACTAGTTACAGGCCTCCAACTAGACTCCGCCCCATAGACTACAACTCTCTGGCTTCTCTCCTTCAGCCAGTTCACAGTCCACCTCACTACCTGATCATCCAGACCACACTTCCTCAATTTAGCTGTGAGGATGCTGTGGGAGACTGTGTCAAATGCTTTGCTGAAGTCAAGGTAGACCACATCCACCACTCTGCCATCATCCATTCACCGTGTTATTTCCTCATAAAAGGCTAAGAGATTGGTCAAGCAAGATTTCCCCTTGGTGAAGCCATGTTGACTGCCCCTCATAACCCTCTTATCCTTGATATGCCTTAAGATGGCACCAAGGATAAGGTGTTCCATCACTTTCCCAGGGATGGAGGTGAGGCTGACCGGTCTATAGTTACCCGGGTCCTCCTTCTTGCCCTTTTTGAAGACTGGAGTGACATTTGCTTTCCTCCAGTCCTCAGGCACCTCTCCCGTTTCCCAAGACTTGGTAAAGATGATGGAGAGTGGTGTAGCAATGACTTCCGCCAGTTCCCTCAGCACTCGCGGGTGCATCCCATCTGGACCCATGGATTTATGGATGTCCAGATTGCTCAACTGGTCTCTAACCCATTCCTCATCGACTAAGGGAAACCGCTCCGTCGACCTGACTTCATCTAAGGTCTCAGGGGTACAGGGCTCTTCAGGACTGCCTGCAACAGAGTAGACAGAGACAAAGAAGGCATTCAGTAACTCTGCCATCTCTGTACCTTCTGTCACCAGGGCACCCATCCCATTCATCAGTGGGCCTACATTGCCTCTGGTGTTAGTTTTGTCTGCCATGTATTTGAAAAAGCTCTTTTTGCTGTTCTTGACCCTTCTCACCAGGTTTAAGTCTAAGGAGGCCTTAGTCATTTTGGACAAGCCAGGGGATTACTTTTACAGTGGGTGTCCATTTCCCTTATGCTCAGCACATGGTGTGTGCTGTCCTTGGGAAGCTCTCAGCTGGAAAGATTTATTGTCTGCTGCCATGCTGGAGGTTTTGCCTCATCCCAGGGCTGTTGTGTTCTCTGCTGCAGTACCACAAGCATGGGCAATTCAGTTTAAAATAATCTGCTGGAAACAAATGAGCAAATAAAACTTCCAGGCGTATGTGAACAGTTCCTGGCCAGCGTCTTGTCTGGGTAAAGAAATAGGAAATGATGGACAATCTTTAAGAGTAGCCGCATTTTTTTTTAATATATATATATTGCTTTCTTTTAATTTGCTGGATGTATTTTAGTTGGAAAGTTTGCTTCAGAGCTGTGATGTTTTGAACCCTTTAATTTTCTCCTTCACCTCAGGGTAAAGCCCACAAGTCTAGCTTTAGTGTTCCCCCCCACCTGAGTAGTTCCTCAGCCATTCTCAGGTTTTCCATCTGACATGAAAAAAAACCTACTGCAGTGGCTAACTGCAGTTAGCTACTCTGCTAAAAATCCCAGGAATGCTTACCACCTGTGATCTCCTAAAATCACAGTCCTTGCTGACTGGGCCAGGCACCCATAACTCAAGCATACCCAGCGCTCCAAACCTCATCAATCTAATAACTGGTTATTGTATCATTGACACTATACAATGCTGTTACATGCTGCTACTGAGGAGACGGCAAAGCATGTCAAAATGTATGGAAGATCAAACCAAGAGCTGTGTATCCTGCAGCAGGTAAGACACGCTCGCAGATCAGTAGCAATTTCGGGCTGACCATGAGATGCATCAAGCACCAGACTGTAAGCAAATATGTTAGTATGCTATAGTGCTTCCTCCTATTAAATAATGAAGAAACCTTATAAATTTGAAAGGCACAAATAAAAGCCTCTCAGCATTTATTTTCATGCTGCATCATAACCTCCTGAGACCTAGGATGCACTTTTGGGGGTCATTTTGGACAAACCAGGGATTATTTTTACAGCAGGTGTCCGCTTCCCTTATGCTCACATAGGGGAACGTTATTTTACATTACTACGTGTTACATTAATGTTAACGCACACCTTGCAACAAGCTCTCCCGTAGCCAGGCCGTGCTGTGGCAATCATTAGGGCCGGCTGCAAGCCCAGAGGTAAAAACCTGAATTTGAATCGGGAAGCCAAGGGTGGAAGGCCTGATCCCGGATCGGACATTACACAGTTCTTCCCCGTGAGGGTGGTGAGGCCCTGGCACAGGTTGCCCAGAGAAGCTGTGGCTGCCCCATCCCTGGCAGTGCTCAAGGCCAGGCTGGACAGGGCTCGGAGGAACCTGCTCTAGTGGGAGGTGTCCCTGCTCGCGGCAGGCAGGGGGTCGGAACTGGGTGAGCTTTAACATCCCTGCCAAAGTCTGTGCCCCTATGACCCCGCGCACACCCCAACGGACGCCCCGCCCCGCCCCGCCCCGCCCCGCCCCACGGGAGGCGGTGACCCTCGGGACAAGGGGCAGGGCTGTCGGGGGGGCGCCGGATGTGCGTTACGCGAGGTGGGTGTGGCCGGAAGTGCGCAGGACAGGGAAACGGAGGGGGGGACCCGCCATTACGCGGAGTGCGCCAGGCCTCGCGTCCCGGTTGTTGCGCCGCCGCCGTTAAGGCGGGCCCGGGCCTTTGCGGGGCGACCAGCGTGGCTGGGCCCTGCTCTACCCTGCCCTGCCCTGCCCGGTCCCCCGTCCCGCAGCCATGGAGGAGAAGGGGTTCGCTAAGGAGCTGGACCAATGGATCGAGCAGCTGAACGAGTGCCGGCAGCTGAGCGAGAGCCAGGTCCGCAGTCTCTGCGAGAAGGTGAGTGCGGGGCCGGCTTCCCCTCGTCCTCCCTCTGCGAACTGGAGGGTTTTGGTTGGGGCTGGCGGTACCGGGGAGCTGCGAGCAAAGCGTCCCGGCATGATGGGGCCGTGGCGGGGAAACAGGTTTCCCTCTTCTCCCCCTGCTCGCCGTGATGCTGCACTGTGGTGTGTCTGAGATGGGAGGGCCTCTTGTTCACAGTGCCAGTGGTTTTCTGGCGTCAAAAATGCCACAGTTATAGGATTTATGAGCAGCTGAGAGCTTTACTGAACTGTAGAATCAGCCACTTTGGAAAAGACCTTTAAGATCATCAAGTCCAACCATTACCACAGCACTGCCAAGGCACCATGTCACTGAGGGCCTCATCTACATGGCTTGTGAACACTTCAGGGATGGTGACTCCACCATTCTCTGGGCAGCCTGTTCCAATGCCTGACCACTTTCTTGGTGAAGAAATTGTTCCTAATCTCTAACCTAAACCTCCCCTGGCACAGCTTGAGGCCGTTTCCTCTTGCCTTATTGTTACCTGTGGGGAGAAGAGACCAACCCCACCTCACTACAACCTTCTTTCAGGTAGTCTTTTATATAGTGATGAGGTCCCTTCCTGAGCCTTCTCTTCTCCAGACTAAATCCCCTGAGGTCCCTTAGCTGTTCCTCATCAGGCTTGTTCTCCAGACCCTTCATCAGCTGTGTTGCCCTTCTCTAAACCAGCTCAATATTTCTCTCGTAGTTAGGGGCCCAAAACTGAACACAGGATTCAAGGTGTGACCTCACCACTGCCAAGTACAGGGGGACAGTCACTGCCCTGGCCCTGCTGCCACACTGGTGCTGATACAGGCTAGGATGCTGTTGGCCTTCTTGGCTGCCTGGCCACAAGCTCATATTCATCTCTGTTAAATCACCATCCCCAGGTACTTTTCAACTGAGCAGCTTAACAACCTGGTCTAGTGGAAAGTGTCCCTGCCTGTGACAGGGGGTTAGAACTGGATGAACTTTAAGGTCCCTTCCAACCCAAAGCAGTCTGGCATGTTTTTTGTTGTTGTTGTTTTTTTTTTATTATTATTTTTTTTTCCACCCACATCTCAATAGTCTGTTTTTCACCTTTTGGCTTTGGGTTCACCTAAATTGTGGTAGAGGACTGGGGTGGTGGTTGCATTGGAAAACCCATTCTGTTTTTCAGGGACATCACATTGCACTTGTGCCTTCTGTCTCATAATGTGAAGCAGCTACACAATAAAAATCCAAGAGGAAACCTTTTGATGTCCAGTGTGAAATCTAGGAAAGGAGAGGGGGAGAAGAGATGATCTGTAATGTCGACCTAAACAAGCTGCTGAGGAGACTAAAATAGAATGAGAAATGGTTGGAGGAAGGACAGCATCTGCTATTTTGGACTGGGGTTTGGACAGTCCTTTGGCAAATTTCTGTGTGCACTTGTTCAGTGTATACTGTCAAGACCTTTTAATTATTTTTTCCCCATCAGGGGACCAGTCTTTAGACTTGTCTTTAGACATTATCTGTCAGATGGGGAACATGTTTTCTGATGCTTGTTCATGGCAACGCATTTTGACCAGTGACTATAAACATCTTGGTGCCAGCTTCAAAAGGTGGAGCTATTTCCTTCTGTTGAAGCCTCAGTAGACTACAGCAGTGATGAAGTCTGAACAGTAGAGAGGGTTTGTGCTGCAGCTTCGTAATGTGCCGGAATGCTCATCGAAAAGGTAGGAGCTGCTTACTTGAATGCCACAGGCAGAGACTATGAAGGACTCCATGCCAGAGCTGTCCATTTGGTTTATGACTTTCTCCATCAGTTCTGAGGGATCGTGATGAGAAGAACTGGTGCTGCAGCAGGGACTGACAGCAGTGGCTCGAAGAGTAGAGACCATACAATCATTAGAATCCCAGACTGGTTTGGATTGGAAGGGACCTTAAAGCTCATCTTGTTCCAACCATCTGCCACAGACAGGGACACCTTCCACTAGACCAGGTTGCTCCAAGCCCCGTCCAGCCTGGCCTTGAACGCTTCCCTAATATGTAATCTAAATCTGTCCTCTTTCAGTTTAAAGCCATTCCCCCTTGTTCTGTCCCTACATGACCTTGTAAAAGGTCCCCCTCCAGATTTCTTGTAGGGCCCCTTGATCTTGAAAAGTGAGGATGAGCTCTCTGTGACTGTGTTCTCTTCTGTGTGAGGTTCAGCTAATAATCCTGAAAGAATTTATTAGTCTGATGTGTACCCTACTCCAAGTGTTCCTGTTTGGGAACTGCTGTTCTGACCCACAAGCTGTTACAGAAGACTTTTTCCCTTCTTCTCTGGCTGCATTGTTAAGTAGCTGTGGCTGCTGTATTTTGAGGAGCAGGAGGACAGTGCCAGCAGAATGCAGCTGTATGTCAGGGCCTGCATGGTACGCAGGGGGAGTGGCAGCTGGAGGTGGGGAGGGTGTTTGTTATCCAGACAGCAGGTAGGAGGCCTAAAGCTGTGGAGCATGGCATGAAACAAATGTCATCTGTCGCAGCACCTTTCTTCAATGGTGCTGGTAACTGGTTAGAATGACTGGGTATGAATTAAGTACTCTGCAATGCTCTTATTTGGCTTATTAAATTGTGGGGGAGTGGTTGTGTCTCCCATCTTGTAGTGGAAAGGGGCTTCAGAAAGCCTTTGGGTGTGCAGACTTGCTTTTGGTGTGAAGTAGCCCTGGCAGAAAGCTGGTTCAGTTTATTTCCTTGAGGTAATATTTGGAGAAGCCTTTACCAACCTTGTCTCACTTCTTAGCACTCCCTTTTCTGTGACTAATTTCTAAGAGGGCAAGCACAATAGTACCTCTTGCCTTGGGTTTAAATTTGTGAAAGAGTTTGATAGGTTATAAAAAAAAAAAAAATCAAAATGAGGTGAGGGAAAAACCCCAAAGAAACAAGTCATAGATTTGCCTGTATGGGTCACTCTTGGTTTTAAGTGCTGGCATAATGGACAGTAAAGAGGGAAAGATTGCACACGGCTAGAGTTGTTCAGGGCATGCCAAATTATTCTGCACTCTGAAAGCTGTTGAAATTTGCACCTGTAGAAATTGCATTGTCTTCACCTGCCCAGGTGAATGTGCAGCATCATTTTGGCAGCTCATCAGTCTTGTATTCTTCATGCAGCTAATCAAGATGTCATATCAAGACAGCATGAGAACACTTGATTACTGTTCTGCTGGTCTTTAAAATGAAATCTAGCTAAAATGCAGCATTCAAAGGATAATAGAAGGACAGACATTATGATCACTGCTAGAGTTTGTAGACATGAGAATGTTGTAGAACATTGGGGAAACGTACATCGGGTGTCTTGCATCTCATGCTACTCTTAACGCCATGGTCTTAGACTCTATGGTGGAAGGCTGTTGAAACTTTTTTCCACTTTCACTAAATAAACAGTGAAAATCTATAGATTTCTGTGTTGGATTATGTCGCCCTTTCATTGGAGGTGCCATGGCAGCTTTCTGTGCTGATGCTGGCTTTGATGTTGTTAGTTTGGGTACTGATAGCAGTGTAGCACTGGCTGCATCGAACTGCCTTTGAACCTGAACAGGTTGTAACCTGTATTTTGAACATTTAAAGTCAGGTTAAAAGGCCAAAAAGTTCATTTGATTTGGTAGGAAGCACTCCCAAGTTTGGAGAGGAATTCTCTGAATACTTGGGTTTTGAAGTTCAAGTCAGGTCAGCTAATGAACTCTGCTGCAGGTGAGGGAGTTAGTACTTATCCTAGGGAAGAGAGTTTTTCACAAAGGTAATAAAATGCGATATGAAAGCAGGTGAGTAAAAGGCTGTCTCTTAAATTAAACATAAGCAAGCAACCATCCATAACCATCTCTCTTGGTAGCTTCTTTTTTCTATCCTTATTGTTTGGATGTGTAAGAAGGGTTACAGTCTCATTGCTGTGAGCAGCTTGAGAACTTTGTGTTGTGAAGTGGTGGGAGGAAAAGGATTTTAATCACTAATGAAGACATACATTTCTTGTACGGTTAGTGAGTGGTAACTGTAAATTGATTCTTCAAACCAAGCAGCAGGAGCCAGTTGAGGCTGTAGGGAGTATTGCTGTTACTGGCATGAACCTATGACGCTTCTGCCCTCTTGAGATTGTTTCGTCTAAGAACGATTTTAGGAGGATGAGTTAGCAAGCTCTTGGGCACTAATTGGTGAAATTAGTATGAGCTAAGTAGCAACCTGGATGAGGATCAAACCATGAGATTGCAAGTGTTGTGTTGAGTCATGGCCAGGAATGTTTCATCTCTGTAGTACTGATGCTTATCCTGGGATGTGCTGGGCCAAGTACCTCTAGGAGCATGTGTAACAGTGTCCATCACTCTTGAGGCTTCAGGGTGTCCTCTGCTTCATCGTTGCTGAAGGGCAGCAGGACAGCTCCATCCCTCTGGATTCCATCTCATTTGAGGAGAATCTGTCTGGTTCTTGTTCACGCCAAGCTCCTTGGGATTTTAATATCCTCAGCATATTTGCTGACATAATAGTTTGGTCTGTCGCAGTTGATAGAATAACAGTTGAGTTGAATTTGCATCAGAAACTCCATGTAAGAGCCTCTATGGGTCAAACCAAGATCGTGGTGCAGTAAATAAATCTCCTAGAAGGACCTGAGTTTCTGTGCTCTCAGAGGATCTTGTATGCAAAGCAGGTGCTTGGGGTCTTTGGCCTTCTCTAGGGGAAGCACAGTGCTGAAAGTCTGCCTCCTAGGATGGATCATAATCTCACAATTAGAATCAGTTTACATAGTTAGCATAGACAAATCTGAACCGTGTGATAGTGGATGTGATTAAGTCTCTCACAGAGGGATTAGCCTCCTGGTGATCCTGATGGTAGTCTCAAAGCTGGTGAAGCATTTCGAGTTTCAGAGCAGCTCATCAATGGGTTGTGTTCAAGCCCTGAGACCACTCCACTTCCTCTTCAAGGCCAACACAGTAAATTACTGGGACGTGCATTCTCCAGCCTCCTTCCACATGGACTAAGGAGTGGACAGCAGCCAAGCTGGTGTACCAGTCTACAAAGGTGATCTATAGGATCTAAAACTGGGAAAGAGAGGGGAGTTGAGACAATGGGCAAGCTCACAGCTACGAAGTAGTCTGCTCCTCAAAGTAATTTTGAGCACAGATGTGGTAACTTGTGCTTAATTGAGGTTTATTAAGTAAAAATACCTAAAAGCTGCTGCTTTTTACTCTGACCTGAGTATGGTTTTTGTCCAGAGCAGCTGGGACACATGCTTAGGAAGCCAGTAGTATTAGTCATGGCTTTCTAAAGCAAAGGTAGTCATAGTCATTTAACAACCTTCTTAAGTAAATTGTGATAATTTAGGGCAGTTTAGTTGTATCAGATTTTTTTTCTATCCTGTTTTGCAATGGTGTTTTTGTTATTTTAAAGCATTTTACTTCACCGTTAGCTTGGCCCATTGAAACATGCAAGCAGAGTGTACTGGCTAATTGCCACTTTTCTGGGATGTTTTTAATGATGCTTAAAATTTTACAGGTACTATTTGGCATTAGAAAGCCACATGATGGCAAACTTCTGTGGCCAGTTCCTGAGCATGATTAGAACCAGCTCTGCAGCATTGGAATGACAGGCTTAATCTATTTGTGTGCATGTATCTTTGTCTACCTAGTAAGCTAAAATAGGCTGCATGGTAGGCAGCTAAAGAAGCTGCTGCTTTTTAGCAGTTAGTTTCTCCTTTCTCATGAGGGGAAACTTCTAGGCTCTCCTAGTACCAAGCTTTCAGGACTTGGGCTGGTCCACCTTTGAAGGATGCATTTAATGTCAGTGTGCCCAACTACTGTGCAGAAGGAGCTCCTCATCTCTGTTGCCTGTGCTGCTCTACCTGTGTGTGGATCTTCAGGTGGGTGCGTGGGTTTTCTGGGCAGATCAGAGAGGTGGAGGGTGATGGTGTGGTTGAGACACTGATAAGTGTGTATGGCATGTGTACAGTGTCCGTCTTTTTACGCATCTGGGAAGGGAGCATTATGCACTATAAGAAAGAGCAAAAAGTCCCCCCCACTTTCTATGGTTAAGTTAGCTCCAGGTTACAGTGTAACCCTGTCTGTTGCTTTGTGCAACAATCAGAACGCACTGAGCGGGTTTGTTCTGTATTTGTCTCACAGAGGATAGATGATCTCAAAAGGTGCTATAGATGTTTTTAAAGATAAGGAAAAAGAATTCAAGTACTACTGTTGCACTCAAAACCACATGTTCAGCAATTCCAGTCACAACTACAAGGTAGACCTTATGCCATCCAGTCAGTGTGCAGGATGTGTCTTTGAGGATCAGGATCACATCCCTCAGGTTAAATACCATGCAAGGGGCACGCTAAATGCTGTCCAAGCCCTAGACTTCTTGGGTTTTAGTTATTCCTTCTGAGTATGCCTCTTTCCCTGAAAGAGGCAAGGCAGCAGAGATTTGAATGTGAATGCAGGTGTCCTCAGGGAGCCCACTGAGGGTGTCCTCAGTAAGCAGCTTCTTCCTGGTTGCAGCAGGTAGTAGCTGCTCCATCCTGAGCTAAGGGACTTGGCCACGAGTAGTTGGATTACTGCCTGCTGGGAACTGTTCAGCACTGGCAATCTTTCATCCCTTCTATTCAGATCAGACTGAGCCTATCTGTGGGTGTCCCCTGTGCTTCATATGTGCCTGGAGCACTGATCTGCATTAGTTGATGAGCTGGAGGCAGGAAAACAAACATGATATTTGATGATAACAAGGTAATGCAGATAGGCTGCATTATGTGGCTGTAATTAGCAGAGGAATTGTTGCGTGTAGAGGAAGAGATGACTAAATCCAGGGATGCCATCCCTCCATCTGTGGTCATTTTGTTGCCATCTGGGTACCACAGGGGAAGCTGGTTGTGACTCCATATGTTCAAATTGCTTCTGACTTTGCTTTTCCAGTTGTGTGTGACCTGCTTTTAGAACTGTTAAACTGTTGCTCTTAGAAAAGGATTGGAAATCTGGCAGAAGAAAACACCCTGGGCAAGAGAGAAGCGCCTCTTGCATATACAGTGGTGTTCTGTGCCAGGTTAGTGAAGGGAGGCGTAGGAATACTTGTTTTCCTTGATAGCTTAAGCAAGAGTAAGAAGAATCTGTCCCTCTGCAAGGGAAATGGATTTGTTAGTTCCCACGTGTTCTTGGAATGTGCAGTGAAGGTTCCCTCTCCTGACATGCAGCTTCAGTCTCACTGCAATGCAGTCTGAAAGAACTGGAGCAGCGCTGGCACTGGTGCTTGTGTTGGTTATTATTTGCCAGAGTGACACAGTTCTGCTTACCTGGTGCCATAGTGGTTGCCCAGTGTTTCTGCCAGATGAGCCCCTTTGTCACATGCAGCCTTTCCTAATGTCATCTCTGCTCAGCAATCACACAGTGAGCTGGCTCTGTCGATATGGAGGAAACAGGCTGTTTGTAGAGCTGTTTCCATGGCATGGGCCACTGCTGTGAAATCCTGGTCTTGGGAAAGCACTTAAGGTTTATGAGTGTGCAGCAAGGGAGGGAAGCCTGAGGGATCCTATCCCAGAGGAGGAAGGTGGTGAGGATGAGCTGTCAGTGCTGGCAAAGGTGGTAATGTGCATGGTTCCACATGGTGGCGTGGGACTGAGAGCCATCCCTTGAAATGGTAGGCAGACTGAAACGTGGCAGGAGGGATTCTGTGTGTAAGTCATGTCATCACGTTTCATATGCCTTCTATCTGAAGTCTAGGAGGCCATAGTTTTCCTACTGGTATATCAAATAATATCTAGCTTGATACATGCTTTTTGAAAATCAGGTTGGTCAGAAGACCATGATAGTCGCCCATGTGGCATGCCCTAGCTCTTCTGGTATTTCTGCCCTTACCTGCAGACAGCAAAAATACCGCCTCATCTCTGTTTTCATACACTGAACTCTTGCTGACAGGACATGGGATGGCCCACAACACTGAGAAGAATGCTGGGATTCTTGAGATGAAAGCTTCTAAGTATCATGTAACTGGGTAGCGCTTGACTTTGGCAGTCAGATTAGACTGATAGATCTCGATCACATAGGTGAGATGAACTGACCTGAGCTGTGTTGAACACAGAGAGAAATCTGTCATAATCTTTAGGTTAAAAAATAAGCCAGTTGTGCTTAAGAAGATAATGTCAGCCTGTGAAGCTGATGAAGCTGACTGGAATAGTGCTTTGTCTTGTCTGCACTGGAGAAATGTTTGGAAGAAGCACAGAATTTGTGGGTGAACCCCAGTGGTGATGTGAGTGGTATGTCTAATGCAAGGCTTGAAGTTCACACTGCTTTCTTTTGGGGGAGGCTGGGGATTAACTTGGTAATTACTCCTTTGAATTTGTCAGTACTTGGTGTTACACTAAGATTTTAATAATCTGGCCTCATGCTAGCAAGCCTGCTTGTCTTCCTGCACAGGGATTTGTAAAATGCATTTTGTATTTGCTTATCCAACAAACCACTGTTTTTCTAGTGGTCAGCTTGAGCTACTGGACTGAAATCGGGTTTCCAGTGTGAATAACATGCAGTGGAATAACATCTGCACCTGCTTATGGAGGAGCTTCCTACCTTTTTGTCCTAAATATGTGTTTTCATGCTAGGCTAAAGAAATCCTTACAAAGGAATCTAACGTGCAAGAGGTACGTTGCCCCGTCACCGTCTGTGGGGATGTCCACGGTCAATTCCACGACCTCATGGAACTCTTTAGAATTGGTGGGAAATCGCCAGACACAAATTACCTGTTCATGGGAGACTATGTGGACAGAGGCTACTACTCAGTGGAAACAGTGACTCTTCTAGTAGCATTGAAGGTAAGGTTTGACAGCTTTCCTACAGCAGCCTTGGGCAAAACACCATATTTTGGGGGAGTTTGGAAAGAATCACTCCTCCCCTTGATGCTGCCATTGGCTTGAGCTAGGCGTGTAAATTGAAAAGCATTAATGGCCGCATGCTGTTCTGTAACAGAGCTGAATGCTTGACCGCTGTTCAAAATATTCCATTGCTCTTTGTTTCCATATTGATGGTACAATCCTTGTGTTAAAGAACTATTTTCTTTGTCAATAGGTGCGCTACCCAGAACGCATCACCATACTGAGGGGCAACCATGAGAGCAGGCAAATCACGCAAGTGTATGGCTTTTATGACGAATGTCTGCGAAAGTATGGCAATGCCAATGTCTGGAAGTACTTCACAGATCTGTTTGATTATCTTCCACTTACAGCTCTAGTAGATGGCCAGGTAAGTGTTGAGTGGGGAAAATGCTTTCATTTGGGGTGTCATGTAGACTGTATTGTCTGACCTCTGCATGGACAGTCTCAGAGAAGGTCGCTCAGGTTGTGTTCTGAATTTTTTCAAAGACTATGTACTTATTGTGGGTTTGGGGATGAATTTAGTGAGGTTTTAACGTAAGTTGACGGTGTGGGGAAAGCTTTTGATTCTGCTGCTGGAGGAATAGCAGAGTATTGCATGTGTGGATCATTTTAATTGACTGCTCAAGAAGTGGGGATCCCTCATGATATATCAGATGCGAGCCGAGTAGTGGCCATGAGGCAAGATATTCCTAAAATGGAAGGATTGATGTCTTTGTTGTTGCCTTATTGTTCCCCTGATTTCTGTATGCAAGGTGCACCCTTTCAGTTTTGTTTCCTTCTGCAGGAATTAAATTTGTTTTTTTCTGCTGTGAGAGTGACATGGCTGCAATTGTACAAGAATGATAACAGTTAAAACCAGCTATTTCTGAGTCTTCCCATAAATTTGTGCACTGAATGGGTTGCACTCTTTTTCTGAAACAGATTTTCTGTCTCCATGGTGGCCTCTCTCCATCCATAGATACACTGGATCATATCAGGGCTCTGGACCGCCTGCAGGAAGTTCCACATGAGGTAACAAGAAAGGAAATGGATCATAAAATTAGATACCTGTTGGTGGAAAATACAAATGTAGCCTCACTTTGAAATCCATTTAAGCTGCAAGAGACACACAGACACGGAGTTAGAAAGCAGGTTATTGCCTTTGTAAAAGCTAGGAGCAGATGAGCATACGTTTGGGCCAGGCACGCAGGTCAGTATACTTTAATTACAGCAGTGTACAAAAGGAGAGAGATGGGAGTTTCACAGCTGTTTGTCACAGAATCATGGGATTTTTTTCACTGTCACGCTGACTTGAAGAATAGTATTTGGCAGCGGAAGATGTTTACTACCTTCAGCCTCACCCACAGACTTGCTTGTGAACAGACAACTACCACGTGAAGCCATGTTGTGTCACCATCCTTTCTCCCCAGCCAACTCTTTCCACTGTGGTGTTACACCTTGTTCATCGTGTTCTGGGGGCCTGAGATCACAACTTGAAGAAACCAGCTTCTGAGCTCCAGGGGCAGCAAATTGCTCTTCTGTGTTGGAGTAGTTGGGGCTTACAAATAGAGTTCAATGTTCCATGATTAAAATGAGCTGCTTGTCCTGCAATGTCTTTGGTACAACAGCAAGAGCAATTTAGCAAAGTTTGCCCAAGCCTTCCACAAACTATAATCAGCTGTGTGAATTACTCCCAGAACGAGGGGGCTACCTGGTTGGGACATCTACCTGTGTAATGGTGATACTGTTGCTCTGGGATTTTCCCAGTCATGTGCTGCATATCTGTGTGCTGAAATCTGGCTGTCTGAGGATCTCCACATGGAGTCGGTGTGATCCGGGCCACACAACTCAGAGTTGTGCGTCGGAAGCAGCAGCAGGTTGGATTAATACAAGAGTGTCTTTACTGCCCCTTAGTAGCTCAGCAAGGAATGCTGGTGAGCTTTCATTTGTGACTGTTAGATGTGTGTAATATATCAAGTCCAACAATAGACTGTTTAGAGAGGAAATTAAATTATTAATACCTTGCCAGAAGAGCTGCTGAAGGGTTAACATCAGTCTCTGGAATAGTTAGTTCAACCTCCCATGAGTTATTTCCCTTTCTTTAATCTATTGCTACTTGGCTGGCACCAGCAAACCCACTGTGCATCCTTGGATTTATATACCTTCCCACGTGGCTTTTCTTACCACACTGTGAAAGCTAGGAGTTAGAATGTGAAGCTGCTCTCAGTGTCTTTGTATCTCTGACTGAAGTGAAGTGGTAAAAGGAACACATGGAAGAGGAGGTGGGAACAGATTTCTGGTATTGTGGATTCGTTTCTCAGTATTAATTTCTTGGTGGGTGGAGGGATGCTGAGTGAGACACTGAGTAAGTAGCGAGAGTGATTAACATGTGTTAAATGAACACTTGTACCTTGTATGGAGAAGGACCTGCTGGCAATCTTCTTACTGTAAATAAAATATACTGTTACAGGAAAACACTTTTAAAATCTTGTTAGTGATCTAATGCAGAACACTTCCTCTTTCAAGGGCCCAATGTGTGATCTATTATGGTCGGATCCAGATGATCGTGGCGGCTGGGGTATCTCTCCACGTGGTGCTGGCTACACCTTTGGGCAAGATATTTCCGAAACATTTAACCATGCCAATGGTCTCACACTGGTCTCCCGTGCTCACCAACTTGTCATGGAGGTAGGGCAAACACTTTGGTACGTGGGGCTAACAAAACGGAGATTCCGATTCTTGTCTCCTCGGTGAGACCTTCCACTGGGTTGGCATAAGTGGACACCTAAATGCGTTACACAGGCAAATATGAAAGAGACTTGAATCATGTAGAAACAAGAAGCAGTATAAAATGATGGGCTTTGACTTGTTATGTAAATAAAGGAGTGTTCTGCCCTTTCCCACCTCCTTATTCTCCAAGCAGATTGACAGAAGGACCCTGTCGCACCTTGTTTCTGGAAGTAATAACCTACTTACATGCTGACTGCTCTACTTAAACTGCTGCTGTCCTATAATACTTGGCAGTCAGACATGGCAGGAATTAAGCCATAATTTTAGCTGTTGATAAGCTATTCTTATATGTCATGCTGTAAAAATGCCAGGTGGGTCAGTAGAGCAGTTGTGTTTTTAAAACCTATTCCAGGTAGATCCCTTAAGTGGTATTGTGTGTCAGCAGTCATTCACATCCAGCAGGCACATTCCCCTTTGTGGTGCGTGAAAGCTGAAGGCATACCTAAAAATCTTGCGTTTTATTTGTGGTACAATCAATAATTTGTGTCCAGAATGGATAAACACACCAGTGATGAATGGCTGATCCCTCTGCAGAGTGATTGGAGCTGTTCCTTTCAGGTAACTACCCACTTGTTCTGGTGGTAAGAGTACTACTAAAAGGAAACAGAGTTGGAAATACTTACAAGAACTCTGTGGTTTCACAAATGCCTTGGATCATTTCAGATCTTAAGAGGAACTTCAGATGGGTTGAGGTTTAACAGATGCTTTTTTGTTTTTTCTCCTTTCCTGGCAGGGTTATAACTGGTGCCATGACCGAAACGTGGTTACCATTTTCAGTGCGCCCAATTACTGTTATCGTTGTGGGAACCAGGCTGCTATTATGGAACTAGATGACACTTTAAAATATTCCTTGTGAGTAACCTGTCTTGGGCTGTCCTTTCTTCCTAACTATTCTATGTTGTGAGTAATGACTGATCCTTTCCAAAGGGCTTCTTTCATGAAAAGCCACCTCAGATCACTCTGGAATTCACATTGTGTGCTGTACCTGCAAGAAAATCTAATAAGTATTGAGTTAAGCTTTTAAAAGTTTGGGCACTGCAGTATCTCACATTCCCAGCTCTCTGGAGAGTTGGAGCTTCTGCATTTCCTTAATCCCTCCATCACCCAAGCTTCATGGAGGGTGCAAAGACTGATTTATGTGTTTATTTTTCTTTCCGGTAGCGCTAGGCTTTGTAAAGGTGGGTGAGATAGTCTGAATTCTGCATTCAGCTGAGCTCATGTGTAAGTAGTGCTGAGCTGCTGCAGTTGTAATTCCCACAGATGTTTGTCTGGGGACCTGGAACATCTTATGTAGAAGCAGCTGGGATGGGTAAAGTGATAGCAGCAGGAGAGCTGGTCTAGTATATATTGTGGCATTCGAAAGTACCTTGTGGAGGCAGAGGGAAAATGATCCCCTTTCCTTTCCTGCAGCCTCCAGTTTGACCCAGCACCTCGCCGTGGAGAGCCTCATGTGACCCGTCGTACCCCAGACTACTTCCTATAAACCTCCCCTAAGCTTTGTAGAAGGAAGTACACCTGGCATTTTAAAGAGCAACAATATTTACACGTTTCTGTAAGAAATCAGGGTTCGTCTCAACTTAAAATCCCCATCATGGACCAAAATGTGCCATACAGAGGATGAAGAGAGTTTAGCACAACTTGAGACTGAATTCCTTACAACACTATGTATATCCCACCCCCATCAGCCCAACAGTCAGTTTGCCTGCTGTATTTGTAGTCATTGTTTTTTCTTCTGGACTGTTCAGAGAGGAAAAGGTAACTCTGATAACACTTCATCTCCTTCAAGGCTTCTTTGTACATTTTTAGTTCTAGTGTTTAACTGGCATGAATTAGAGTTTATTTGCAAGGGAAATGCATACTAACTTCTGCCCCCAACACTATTTTACTGAAAGACCCATTGACTTAACTGGAGAAAGGAAGCAATTCCTGCTGGGAGTACGTTGTCATAACACAGATAAAACCGTATCTTTTTAAGCTCCGTTCCCTTTTGGTGTCTATCTTCTGCTCTCTCCCCACCCCCCCCCCCCCCTTTTTTTTTTTTTTTTGTTTTGTTGCTGCTGTTCTATTTTGTTATCCTCCCTCTCACCCTCACCCTACATTTGTCCTTGAGCTGCTTGCAACCCTCCTCGCTGTACCTGAACCAATAAACTTGCCATTGTCAGCCCTAACCCGTGGTGCCGTGCTGGGACGGGGCGGGACCGGGGAGGCGGAGCAGAGCGGAGCGGCAGGGCCTTACCGAGCCGGGGTCATGGCGGCTGCTGCGTACGAGCTGCTGGTGCTGGGTGGCGGGTCGGGGGGCCTGGCAGGGGCTCGGCGGGCGGCCGAGCTGGGAGCCCGCGTTGCACTTGTGGAGCCGCATCGCTTAGGCGGCACTTGCGTGAGTCCGGGGGCACCCGCGGGGGGTTCACACGCTCCCATCATGAGCGGTGGATGGGGATACAGGAGTTATGCAGCAGTGGGTCCCCCCGGGCTCATCCCGGTCCACTGGGTAAGCTAGAGGGCAAGAAGCGCTATCCTAGCCACGGAGCATTGCTTGAGGATTTGCCGTTGAGGATTTGCCGTGTCATGCTGAGTTGCGTGGAAGCAGAAAGGGTCCAATTCTATAAGTGTGAGGGTGATAATAGAATGCTTTGGGTTGGAAAGGACCTTTGATCATCTAGTTCTAATCCCCCTCTTCCTGCCTGTTCTGGGGAGGATAAATGGATGTTGTCGAGTCAGGATCTGCACAGCTCAACTCTGATCTCGGTAACAACTGAACGTCAGCAAAGCAGAATGTGGCAGGCACAGGGAGCAGAGAAAACAAACGTGTTCCTCAGGAATGCCAGGGGCAGGCTTGAGTTTTATGCTTGTAAGTGTGTTTCCCATAGAAGAGTTGCTGTACAGACGTTTCCTGGACAGGAGGGGGATGGCAAATCCCTTTCTCCTAGTGAATCTTCTTTAAATTATCAATGGAAAAAAACCCACTTAAACACTCTGCCCCTTCCGTATTCTTCAAGGAAGTGAGGGTTGGCAATTGGCAAGCCCTTGAGGCACTGAAGGCACTTATAACCCTCTTTTGCCAAAGACCTATAATCCCTAATATATTATTCTGAGCACAGAGCTGGGATTCGGTACCAGTCTGATGAAGGATGCTCTCTCCAGGGCATCCCCTTTGAAACACTGAGCCTTAAAATGCCAAGACTTACTCTTACCTCCCCTCTAGGTCAATGTCGGGTGCGTGCCAAAGAAGGTAAGGGTGCTTTCATTGCTGGCTTTGGTGTGGGTGTCTGCCGAATTGTGGGGAGGATGCAGGGGCTCAGGGTGTATTGAGCCATCAGGATGCTGTGATATGCTCACATCCATGTCCTGTGGGCTGCTGTGGGCAGAGGGAAAGCATTGGGAAGGGTGGCTGGGATTTTCCCGTATCCTGACTTGCGGGTTGCATGAGCAGGTGATGTGGAATGCGGCTGTCCACATGGAGTTTGTCCATGATCACGCCGACTATGGCTTTGAAACACCCAGCATCAAGTTCAACTGGAGGTAAGCATGGAAAGAGCCAGGTGGAACCAAGCATCTCCTGGTGCGATTCCCATGGGAAGCAGCCACAGAGCAGCACCTTGACCCCGTGGTATGTTGCCTGCCGCAAAGGGGTCCCTGGCTGCTTTGAGGCTTCATGTAGATGGATGCTGAGCTGGTTATGTAGCCTGGATTCCTGCTGTATTTTGGAAAAGGGGTGGGAAAAGACTGGAAAAGATGGATGCAGCAAAGGCAGGCACAAAAACATCACACTGGTGGGGAAGGCTGGGTAGCTGGTGGCTGGTTTATTTTGTGGTGTGGGTGCCATGTACTGAAGGGAATGAATTGTTTCTCTCTGAGCTCTGTAGGTTCATTTGCTTACGGTGGCAATAAGCCCCTGCTCTCTTCCAGAACCATTAAAGAGAAGCGTGATGCTTATGTGAGGCGCCTCAATGAGATCTATGAGAATAACCTCAAGAAGGTGAGGATGTGTTTGTCCTGCAAGCCGAGTGAGGAAGTAGGATCTGTTGGATTTTCAGCCACTTTTCCAGACTTAATGGGTGTCATCTTCCCCCCGACTCCATTTGCTGGCTCTCACACCTTGTCCCGTTGTTAATCACACACAGAAGTGAATGCTCCATCCCTGGCAGTGTTCAAGGCCAGGTTGGACAGAGCCTTGGCCAATATGGTCTAGTGTGAGGTGTCTCTGCTCATGGCAGGGGGTTGGAACTGGATGGTCTTAAGGTCCTTTCCAACCCAAACCATTCTATGATTCTGTGATTCTTACTCCACCAAGGCTCACATTGACATCATTCGGGGCTATGGCAAGTTCACCGCTGATCCTGAGCCTACCATCGAAGTGGATGGGAAAAAATACACAGCTCCTCACATCCTTATAGCCACAGGCGGGCACCCGACTGTCCCTTCTGACAGCCAAATTCCCGGTGAGCATGACAGAATCCTGTCGAAGCAAAGCGGGATTTGGGGGAGGGGAAGGTGGGAAGGGGTGCGAAAGGGGCTCTGCTTTGCAGGTGCCAGCCTGGGGATGACCAGCGATGGCTTCTTTGACCTGGAGGAGCTGCCCAGGTAAAACAGTGCTCATTTTACCACCATCACCACTTTGCCACCACCATCACCAGCAGCTCCACATGCTCACACACGGCATCACCCCTTCTCTACAGGCGCAGTGTGATTGTCGGTGCCGGCTACATTGCAGTGGAAATCGCAGGGATCCTCTCCACGCTGGGCTCCAAGTCATCCCTGCTGATCCGCCAGGACAAGGTAGTGCCTGCCACCAGTTGTCCCCAGCCATGCTTGCCACCTGGTAGTTGCATCCCACCTCACCAGAGTTTCCTGCTTGTCAACTCCCATATGGGCTTCTAAAGGAGGGTCTGAGCCATGGCAGGCTTAGGAGAATGGGAATGGTGGTGCAGAGGATTGTGATGTGATGCCGATGGGTATAAGGATGGGTGTAAGGAAGAGCAGAGTGTAGGTGTGCTGCCAGGCAACTTGGCGGCACCAGCCTGTGCCTGGCATTCCTGCTGCTGCACCTGCTTACTTGAGCTTTATTTCAAACCCTGATTTGAACATAAAATAACCCAACAAATTAAAGGAAAAACAGACACAGGGGAACTTGATCATTAACACCCCAAACCTCTCTGGGCCTGGATGGGGCATGGGCAGAGGTGAATGCCCAAGGAGGGGGCTGCCAGATGGTGCCTTCACCTGTGGACCTTCGTCTGATGGGTCCCTGCCCAGGTTCTGAGGACTTTCGACTCCATGATCAGCTCAAACTGCACCCATGAGCTGGAGAACAGCGGGGTGGATGTCTGGAAGCACACACAGGTATGGGCATGCTTTCCCCATCCTTCCTGGGGAGACAGGCATGGGGGAATGCTGGCATTTTGGGGCATCCCTGGTTCTGTGGTGTGGCCACTGTCACCTGTTATAAGGCAAAAGCTGTTGCCACCTTCTTCCCCTGTGGCTCCTATTGTTCCCCACAGGTCAAGACGGTCACCAAGTCCCCTTCTGGGCTTTTGGCTGTGACAGTGACCTCCTTAATGCCAGGCCACAAGCCAACGGAGAAAGTGATTCAGGACGTGGACTGCCTGCTGTGGGCTGTGGGGAGGGAACCCAACACCCAGGACCTGTGCCTGGACCGAGTGGTGAGATGGCAGCGCTGGTGCGAGGATGCCCCTCAGGTCTTCGGGGACCCATGGGTCTTTGGGGTCCCATGGGTCTCCAGAGCCTGCCATAGGATGGTATTCCCACCATGATCTCCCTGCGGCTGGTAGCACTGTGGCCACCAGCATGTGTCCCCCATGGACACTGCTTGTCCCATCCCACCCATCACACTTCGCCAAAAGCAGCTGCTGTTTCCCAATGGCAGGGTGTGCAGATGGATGCCAAAGGCCATGTGGTGGTGGATGAATACCAGAACACCACCAGGAGAGGGGTCTATGCCATTGGGGACGTGTGTGGGAGAGCTCTCCTCACCCCAGGTACCACGGCTGTGCCACCTTCCCCTCCATGGTGCATTCGTGCCACAGTTCAGGCTCCTCATCCTCGTCCCTCCCCACAGTGGCCATTGCAGCTGGCAGAAAGCTGGCCCACAGGCTCTTTGAGGGCAAGCAGGACTCTCGGCTTGACTACCATTACATCCCCACTGTTGTCTTCAGCCACCCACCCATTGGCACCGTGGGTCTCACTGAAGGTAGGGACAAACGGGGCTGGGTACATTAGCTCAGAGATGATGATTTGATGCTCAAGGAAACAGTCGGATCTCCAGCAAGTGGTCTGAGCCTTGTAAAATGTGCTTTGAGTCCCTCATTATAAGCACCTTGTGCATATGGCACAGCCCCTTCACCCATGTGTTGTGTCTTCTGCTGCAGATGAAGCCGTGGCCGCATACGGGAGGGAGAATGTGAAGAGCTACAGTACATCCTTCAACCCCTTGTATCACGCTGTCACCCAGAGGAAGGTGAAGTGTGTCATGAAGCTGGTGTGCGCTGGCAAGGAGGAGAAGGTGTGTGGAGGTGATGTTGGGGGGACAACTGGGCAGTGCATGGGGATGGAAAGGACCACAGCTGGTCCTCTTGTACCCCCGTGGTCAGGTCTGATCCAGCTCCCCCAGCATCAAGCCCAGCATTCACCCTAGATTCATGGATGGCCACAAAGATCTTCTGAGGGCTCGGGTACCTCTGCTCTGGAGAAAAGTTGAGAGAGCTTGTTCAGAATGGAGAAGAGGAGGCTCCAGGGAGACCTTATAGCAGCTGCCAAATGCCTAAAGGGGCTACAAGAAACCTGGAGAGGGTCTTTGGACAAGGACCTGCAGGGACAGGCCAAGGGGGAATGGCTTTAACCTGACAAAGGGGAGACTGAGATGAGATGTTAGGAAGTTCTTTCCTGTGAGGGTGGTGAGGCCCTGGCACAGGTTCCCCAGAGAAGCTGAGGCTTGCCCAATGGCTAGCCATTGGGTTCAAGGCCCCATGCCCTTGAACCTGGAAGTGTTCAAGGCCATGGACGGGGTTTGGAACAACCTAGCCTAGTGGAAGGTGTTCCTGCCCATGGCAGGGGATTGGAACTGGATGAGCTTTAAGGTCCCTTCCAACTCAAACCAGCCTGCCCGTGCTGTGTCCTATCCAGCCTCTCTCTTCTTCCCCAAAGGTGGTGGGATTGCATATGCAAGGGCTGGGCTGTGACGAGATACTGCAGGGCTTTGCTGTGGCCATCAAAATGGGGGCCACCAAGGCTGACCTGGACAACACCGTTGCCATTCATCCCACTTCTGCTGAAGAGCTGGTGACGCTGCGCTAAGGCAGCAGGCATGGGTGGCTGCAGAAAACCTTTAGATATGTCTTAATGCCTTACTGTCAGACGGTTGTGTGGAGAGGGGTCTGTAAGACGGCGTAGAAAATAAATACTGTGATATTGGCAAGGCTCTATGTTTCTGTTTATGGTGCCTGTCTCCTGCGATGCTCAAGGGTTTAGGAGGAGGCTCCAATGGCTGGGTTCCACCTGGGTGCTTGGGGTACTCATTCAGTACCCTTGGAGTATCCCAGGTGGGTTCTTGTCCTCCGCTGCATGCTTGTGCAGGGATGTACTGGCATCGCTGTTGGATGTGGGATGACGGGGATGCATCCTGCATCCAACAGCCCCTGCTGGACCCAAGGGGCTTCAGATCCACTGCCCCAGCTCAATCTGCTCGTTGTGGATCTGCCTCTTGAGCTTTCACAACTTTGAGGCAGCTTGAAGCACAGCTGGCCAGGAGAGGTAGAAATAAATGGTGTGCATGAAATCAAAGTATCTCTGAGGTTGAAAATTCCCCAAAATCTAAGTTGTGGCCAAAGGAAGGGGCTCCTGGTGCTCAGCCCAGGTGTGCAGCTCCGAACTTTGCCAGGTTGTCTCCATCCAGGAGGCAGGAAAATCCCCTCCTCCCCCCCCCCCATCCTAACACCATCAGCGTGTGTTTAAAGAGTATATTGGTCTCTTAAGGGGTCAAGTCCAAGCAAAAGCCTGAATATTACCAGTATCTTTAGTTATCTATGAACAAATAACGATTTGCAAGGTTTATTGCTAAGGGAAGCAAATGAGATTTCCTCTGGCTGTGCTACAGCCTCGGGCAGATTACAGGAGTGTCAGCTGGAGTTAATTCAGTTAATTGCTCCATTTGAATCATGGAGACTTTACCCTCACAGTCAGCATCTTCTGGCAGTTGGTGAGTGGTGGGTTTGGTTTGTTTTTCTTTTTAAATGAAAACTTGGGAAATTATTGAAGTGTCCAAAAAGGAAAGCACAGACATCGGCAGGGGCTCTGTGGCCGAAGAAACCTCCTTTTTTGAGAAAATTAGGTAAAAAAAAAACAACCACAAAACAGCTCAGGGGTGCCGGGAGCCCTCGTGAGACCACATCCCCCGGGCGGCGGACGCTAGGACCCAGCGACCGAGAGGCCGTTCAGCCCGCAAGCCCCGCCCCCCCACTCGCTGAGACTCCTCCCACTGAGCGTGTGCGCGGGGCGGGGCCTAAGGGTTGACCCGTGCGCTTGCCGTCTTTCTACGTGCGGGTCTCGGGGGTGCTGGTTACTGCTGCTGGCGGGGGGTAAAGCCTCCAGGGTCGGTGCCGGCGCTCTCGCCCGTTCCCCGACCCCTTCCCGAGCGCCGCCCGGGTTCGGGGACTGGGGTCGGTTTGGGGCTTCAGCGGGGGCTGCGGCTGAGCAGAGCCCTGCAGAGCGGGGACCGGCCTTGGTCGGTGCTGCGGATCCATAACGAGCCCCGCATTCCCCGGACGTGGCTGCCGGGGGCGGTCCGGGCCTCGGTCTCCGAGAGAGCCGAGCCCTGCGGGGCTGGACACCGGCTCCGGGGCCTGCCTGAGGCTCCCCGAGGGCATGGGGCTGGCCATCGAGGAGGGCACCCCGGGCTCCGGCACACGCTTCGGGAGTAGAGACCGAGGGCTGAGCCTGGCCTGGAACCGGGCTCGGAGCGTTGGAGTCTGGAAGCCAATCGGCTCCTGGGGCCGCTTTGGGTTCAGAAACAGAGACCGAGTCCTGCGGTTTGGGGGCTCGAAACCGGGGTCACTAGAACCAGATTTGGTGCTCAGAAATGGAGACCAAGCCTCACGTATCGGAACCCGGCTCATGTGGTCAGTTCTGGGGCTCAAACAGCCCTATCTCTGCGTTTAGCTGCTCAAGAAACAGGTTCAGAGCTTAGAAACAGAACTGCCATGTATGGAAGTCTTGCCATGACTCATTGGGCTGATGCTGGGGCTCAGAAACACAGACCAGGTCCTGACTTTTGCTGCTCAGCACCAGGTGTTTGGGGGCTCAGGAGGGTGCTTTGGTACTCGGGACCTGGGGCCACGGCTCTGCAGCATGAACACGGCATTTCCCAGCTGCAGAACGGAGCCCTGGGGCTGTGCCAGGGCCCGAGTCCTGCACCTTTGGGCTCAGAAGCAAGACCCTGTTGGGTGGTTCTGTGGTCAAAGCCAGGGCCAGGCTGGATGGGGTTGGGCTGTGGGAGCAGAGTAGGCTGGTGCATGGATCCTGGCCGGAGGGGGTGTCCAGTCACATTGGTCCCTGAATGCTGGAACACCTAGCATGCACTCGCCTGAATTCAGTATCTGAGGTAGTCTCTGGGTGAAAGGTGCTTTTCACGCTGGGTCTGGGCTCCAACTCTATTTACTCAAGGCATGTACAACCACTGCAAGAGTCTTGGGCGCTTGTTAGCCCAGGGCTGTACAGCGAGCAATTATGACAGGTCATATTCATCTACATATTGTGACAGTGACTGATTTACGACCTGGCTATAAGCCAGACTTAGTTTAACATGCACAAGCAGGTTGAAGCAGCAGCTGGGGCTGGAGATGGACATGAGCTGCAGCCACAGTGGAACTGGACCCATCCAGAGGCTGGGCCTGAAAAAAAAACAGGTGAGCAGAAACAGTGTCCTCAGCCATAAACGAGCTGAGCCTGAAAGAAACAGGGACTTGAACAAACACACAAAACTCCAAGCACACAACCCCCCTTGAAACTACCCAACCCTGCCCAAAACTACCCCAAAACCCATGAAAAGCTACCCAAAAGCTTCCAAAAATACACAGAAGTGACCCAAAACCGACCAAAAAGCTACCCCAAGCCCCCAGCCTCTGGCCGTGTCCTTACTGGAGCCAGACACTCGCACTGTCAGGCGGCAGCGTCGGCCTCAGCACACAGCTCCCGGCGTGGCTGGGGCTCCTCTGCTCATCCGTGTGTCCATCCCTGTGCAGGGACAGACGTGGCACAACCAGCTCCTGGCAGCACACCCCTGAGACAGCCGGGGAGGGAGAAGCGGGGCTGGGACCCCAGGAATGTACCGGTTCTTCCCGGAAGGGCGGGTGAGTGCCAGGGTCTGTCTGAAAACCCTCCGGCCCTGAGCGTTAACAGCGGCACAGACCGACCGCGGCAGCCTCAGACGGGGACCGGCACCTACCAGTGCCGGGGTCTGGATTGGACCCCGACAGCACCCCCTCCCACCTCTCCAGACACCCTGAACGGGTACCCCGTTGCCTCCTGCGGCACCCGGGGATTCCCTCGGAGCCATCTCCTCGATCCCACCGTACAGGGTTGGGGCACTCATCCCACCGAGGTGTCCTCACCCCTCGGGCCCTGCTCCTCGGTGAGGATGAGCTTTCCTCACACAGCACCACCCGGATCAACGACAGCTCCCGAGGGATCGGCAGCACCGGGGCGGCCCTCTCTCCCCGTGCCTGGCCGGGCTTCACAGAGCCACCAACGGGGCTCCAGAAGCCGGTGAGGGGATCTGGGCCTCTGCTCCCACCGCAGCCTCTTTTGAGCTGAAAAAGAAGGGCTTAGGTCAAACCACGGCTCCGCTCAGAGCAGCAGCAGTGTAAACCAGTTTTCCCCAGCAGCTCCCACACTCACCAGTCCGAGCTCTCGCCAGAGCCGGACGGACGGAAAGCTCTGTCCTGCCGGAGCCGCTGCGGGGAAGAGCCGGGGAAAAGCAACAGCCGGTGCCCGCTCCGGGAGGAGGGAGCTCGGCAACGGGAGGGGTCACCGGCCGCTCCGGGAGACCCTCAGCCCCCGCGGAAGTCACCGGGAACCCATGGATGGTCCCGCCCCGGGAAGAGGGCGAGAACCCGCTCACCAGTGACTGCCGGCGCAGGCAGCCCCGACCCCCGGTACCTGCCCCTTTCCGCCGTGGTTCCCGGCAGGAGTCCCACACGCAAAGCCGGCCCGGTGCCGCCGCACCCGCACCGTAGCCCCGCAGCGGAGGAAGAAGCGAGGAAATAGCGCCGGTTCTGCCCATCTTCCCCCGCTTTCCCTTGCTCGGCAACGTCCCGGGATGCCGAGGCTGCCCAGGGCAGGCGGGAGCCGGCGTCGCTCTCGGTTCTCTGTGTCTGAAACCTCCTCCTCGAAGCCCCGGGGAGGCGGGAGAGCGACTCCCTCATCCCGGTCTCCGGCTCGGACCCCGCCCTTGAGCAGCGGCCTCCGCTCAGCCGCAGGAGTGGGGCGCGGCGGCAGCACAGGGCGGATCCGTGGCGGGGCAGCAGCACCAGCGCGGCGCCCGCAGCCGAGCAGGGGCCCCCGGCACAGGGACCTCTTCCCGCGGCGGCGGCGCCCCCTGCTGGCCGCAGGGGAGGCTTTGGGGCCTCTGCCGTCCCGCGCTGCGGCGCCCCCTGGCGGACGCAGAGGGGGTGGGCTGCGCGGCCGGGCGTCGGGGCAGCAGCGCAGCACCCACAGCCGGAACGGGGGGCGCTCCCAAGCAAGGATCAGTCGAGACATTGGCACCTTTCCTTTCACCCCTTTATTAACGCCACCGTTAGTTTTAGCCCTCGCCATTCGAGCCAGCCGGTGCCGCTATCTGTCCGGGACCCGCCTGCAGGTACCTGGAGCTCCTGCAGAGAGAGGGGAGGGAGAGCGGCTGCCCCTCGTGGGGGTCCTCCCGTTATCCCGGGATCAGTCGCCATTACCAACCCCATGTACCTTCACGCAATGCCTGTCTCCAGCACGTCCTCGCTTTTGGAAGGCAAATTCTTGTTTAACGTCTCCATCTCGTCCGCCTTTCTCTTCATGCGCTGCTTCCGACAGTGGCTTTGATGGGGGGTGTGGAATAAGTCAAAATAAAACCCAAAAGGAAAACGAGGCATGGCAGTTTTGCTGCTCCTCCTCCCTCCACTTTCACCCACAGAAGCTCTGGGTGAGATCGTGCATGGTGTCCAGCTCCAAGGCAATGCCTCACATCCCCCCCCCCCAGCACCCTCAGAGGCCAGGGCAGGGACCCCTAAATCTAACCTCCTGAACCCACTGGAGGTGGGCATCATTCCCCATAACCTCTTCCCGTGCCTCGCCCTGTTCCCCCCACCACGTACTGACTGCAGAGGCAGGCGCAGACAACGAGGATGATAAGGGTGACAATGGCAGCAATCAAGGAGATGATGACGATCTGGCCCCGGTCTCCTCGCAGGTAGAAGATGTCCACCCTCTCGCAGCGAGCCCCCGTGTAGCCCCTCTCACACCTACCCCATGGCACAGGGGAGGCAGAAGATGGATTGGGTGTCCAAAAACCCACCATGGTGCCCTCCTCTTCCCTCTCTCCATGTCCCCAGCAGCAGCGGCTTACACACAAGCTGGCACCTTCTCGGCCATGAGGAATCGGCATCTCCCCTTGACGCAGTAGTGCTTGTATTCCTCCGGGCACCTGGAGAAGTGTCCCTGCCGCCTCAGCTGTGTAACATTCCCTGGAGTGACAAGGAAACCCACCCCCCCACCCCCCCCCCGGGGTTACAGTTCTCCTCAGAGAGCATCTGGTCCATCCAGAGCCACAGGAATGTGTGTCCTTGGCTGTGGCATGCCGCTTCCCTGCGCGGCTGTGGTTGATACAACATCCATCCTCCATCCCAGCCCTCTGCCCTGCATTGTTCAGCTCCCATCCGGTGTCACCAGCTCCCCTAAGCATCCTTGCACCATACCCATGCAGCTCCGGGCTGTGCCACAGGTAAATCCCTCCATTCCATGGTCAGTGGTGACATTTGTGTCAGCACCCACACAACCAAATAAAGCCAAACCTGAAAGGCAATGGAGGTGGGTCAGGGAGTGAAGCTTGGCTAGAGCATCACCACCAGCACCCACCGCAGCCACTTATCCTGGCCTTGGCCATAGGGAGGGGACTGGCAAAGAGCCCCTCCTTCCCCAGCAGCATTGGCTTGGCTGTTCCCCAGGGTGAGGGGAAGGGAAAGCTGGTCCCTGTCTGCCTCCTCCACTCAGCACCAGCATCCTGGAGCCAGACAGGAGGGGTTTAGGGGGCACAGCACAGCCTGTGGGCAGTCAGCAGATGGGGGAGGGGAATCCCCAGAGATGTCTTTCTGAAAGACCATGGTCTTCTTGGGGCTGTTCAGCCTGGAGAAGAGAAGCTGCGTGGAGATCTCATAGAAACCTTCCAGTATCTGAAGGGGGCCTGCAAGGATGCTGGAGAGGGACTCTTCATCAGTGACTGTAGCGATAGGACAAGGGGTGATGGGTTTAAACTGAAATAGGGGAAGTTCAGGTTAGATCTAAGGAAGAAGTTCTTTACTGTGAGGTTGGTGAGGCGGTGGCACAGGTTGCCCAAAGAAACTGTGGCTGCTGCATCCCTGCCAGTGTTCAAGGCCAAGTTGGTCGGGGCTTGGAGCAACCTTGAAGCAACCTGGTCTAGTGGAAGGTGTCCCTGCCCATGGCAGGGGATTGAAACTGGGTGAACTTTAAGGTCCCTTCCAACCCAAACCAGTCTGGGATTCTCTGATTCTAAAAAGCACACCAGCCATGGGAGTGGGGAGACGTGAACACTGCAATTCAGCACCCACAGAAGCCCAGTAGCTTCCAGTGTCCAACAGCTAAATTCCCACCACAACATCACTCACGGCTGCACTGGGGCATGGATCGAGCTGGAAAAGGGGTAACCATGCTCGCTGTGGCAATGGGACAAAGCTGAGGGCTGGCTCAGACCCAGCACGTCCTGACAGCAGTGGCAGTAACCGGATCGGTAACCAGATCGCTGGCATAGCAGCACTGACTCAGCACGGTCCCGCTCCCAGCCCAGCCCTCCCCAGGGATTCACCCCATTGTGGTGGCACCCAGCAGAGTGGGGACAGGTCCCGCCTGGTGGGGCAGGGTGCTGGGTGTTCCTGTTCTGAGTGGGTGCACTCACTTTGCAGCTTGGCCACATCAAGGTCTCCTGGAAAGGGAGACTGGGCACCAAGCCTGGGCAGCTGCATAGCCTGGTTCCCATGTTCCTACCCAGTACCCTGACAGCAGTGGAGAGGGTGCCAAGGCTCCGGTGCCCTCCCCATCCTACGGCAGAGATGTTCCCAGCACACGTGTCCCTCCTGGCTATATATAGCTAACAACACATTTTGGGTAACAGAGCTGCAACAAGGACAGGGCTGAACTTCTGCCAGGGCTTCTGTAGCTGAAGAATCCCACTGGGGAGGGGATGCAGCCCCTTCTGGACCAGACAGCAGGGTGGGATTTGCCTGATGGGAGCCGGGGATGAGCCATGGGGCGGTTTTGCCCCCCTCCCTTGGGAGCCTGCAGGCATCAGCACAGGGAGGGAGGCTGACTTCACCCCCAGTGACCGAGTTTACAGCTCAGCATGGAAAGATCCCCACCAAGATGAGATCCCCACCCTTATTGCAACCAGATGCAGATTTTGGCACCCTCTGGGCTGGCAGCCCCTTGAGAGGACAGCCCTGATGGCACCTCCAGCTCCAGGGTGGGGTGGGGGATTGTGGGGTGCCCCCCAATACCCTGAGCTCAGCACCTTGCGGGTGCAAAGAACCTCATCTCTGTGACACGCTGAGAGCCCTTCTCTGCTGTGTAAGGCAGTCAGAGACAACCCAGGAGCAAGCATCCCAAACACAGGGTTATTTTGCCATAACACCCCCAACGCTCCCCTGAGAAAGCCCGAATTGCCGGAAAGCAACCACGTGGGGCATCGCCTTGGTCTTATGGGCACCCCCGCCCCAGAACAGGTCGGCCACCCTGAAGCTCCTTCTGCCAGCACAGGTTGGGCAGGTTTTGTCATGCACCAGCTCTGCCAAAAGGCCAAACCCAAAGTGCTCCGATGCCCTGTGTATCACCAAGCCCGGCTGATGTTCAACTCTGCCTGTGGTTATCTCCTGCCAGCCCTGAGCAGGCAGCTGCAGCCAGCTTTTCCCACTTCCCACGCACTTGGGAACTACCACCGGGACACTTGTGCACTTGCTGAACAGGTATCGGCAGCCCCCCCACATCCCCCATCCCTGGCGCTGCCAAGGAGGCAAACCACGGGTATACCATGAGCAGTGTCCCATCCCAGCCCTACTGCAGGATGCACCCAGGGCACCCCGGCTCCATCCTGCCCCCGAGGGTTCCAGAGATCCAGAGCCAAGTTGATACAGGGGAGCACTGGGATGGGACAGTGAGGATTACCAGCACAGGACATGGAGGCACATGGGGTGGGTGCAAGGAAGCACGAGGGAGTACAGAGACAGGACTGGGCATGGGGGGAAGACTGGGATGGGATTATCCGGGGAACACGGGGAGTCACTGTGGTGTGACTGGAGAAGCGGCAGGGTGGATACGAGGGTGGGACAGGGGCAGAGTCGGAATGAGGCAGGGGAACGGGGGGGATCAGCAGGCTGGGACTGGGGGGGGGGGGGGCAGCGGGATGGGGTAGCACCAGAAGAGGCATAGGGGGGCACCAGGATGGGACCGGGCGGTGGGTGGAGGATCACCAGCGTGGCACCGGGAAACAGCGGGATGGGACAGGGGCAGCACCGGGACTGTGTCGGAGCAGGGGACCCCCGAGCCGAGCCGAGCCGCGCCGCGCCGGGTGCCCCGCGCTTACCGGAGGCGAGTGCCAGGCAGAGCAACAGGGTATTGGGGCCGCCGCCCGGGGCCGGGGCCGCCGCCGCCTCCATGCGCGCAGCCGCCGCCTGGCCGGTACCTGGTGCCCGGCGGCTGCCGCGGGGCGGGACGAGGGCGGTCGCTGCCGGCACAACCGCCCTCCTCCTCCTCCTCTTCCTCCTCCTTCTTCTGTTCCTTCTCCTCTTTTTCCTCGAGCAGAAGCCTCACTCCAGCATCCCTGGGGATTCAGGGAGCCAGAGGGACCCCCGCATCCCGCCCTATCCCAAGTGTGGCTCCGGGCGTTCCACTCCAGGCTGTCATGTTATGAAAAGAGAGACTTATTCATAGCGAGCTGCTAATACAACAGCCTCCCAAAGCCTTGGCAGGGACTGACGGCAGCTACAAATTATTTTGTGAGGGGCTGTGCCTTGGCACAAACCTTCCGCACGTTGGCCTTGGGGTTTATTTTTTGCCTAGGAAGATGAGTCTAGTCCCCTGGGATGATGTGTCTGGTCCCCTGAGTGATGTCCCAAGGAGGAGGAGAACGGAGAACCCCTAAGGGGTGATGGGATGCTGGCACGTCCCCTCCTGGCAGCCGGGGACTCTCAGTGGGGATGCAGTGCTATGATGATGCTGTCCAGGCCCCAGGGAAAGCCAAAGAGCTTCTCCCAGCAGAGGAGGGCAGGCAGGGTGGGGTGGTGGGGCTGTGGCCTGCTCCATGTTATTACAGGCATGAAATAAGTGGAAATGAAACACTGGAAAGAACGGGTGACCTCAAACCACAAGCTGGCAGCTGTTAATGCAAACACTGGCAGCCACCCAGCCATGCCTTTTGGCCCCTGGCCAAGGAGTGAGTGAGCTAGTGTCACTCTGGCCAGCCAGAAAACCATTTGCACACTGCAGTATGCCAGTGCCGTCAGCCCTTTGCTTGTGGACACCCCAGGTCCTGGCTGGTGGTAGGGGAAGACCCCAGCCCCCCAGAAGCAAGCAGGTGTGATAAACCACTAGAGAAACATTGCGAAGCTCCGTTGGGGAGAGTAGGGACTTGGGCAAGATGAGGGAAACCAGCAGCTGGCACTGGGATGTGAGATGGGACACCCAAGAGGAGCCAGCTTCATCCCCATGGGGCAGGTGAAGGGAAGGAGCAGGCAGCAAAATCCTTGTGGCCACAAAAAGCAAATGGTCTTCCTTTGTCATCCTTCACATCTGGATAAAATTGGGGAGGAAAAGCTTTTTAAAGAACTTTTAAGAGCGCTGGAGCCCCAAGGCAGATGCCACCAGAGGTAGTGGTTTCCCTTCTCCAGTAGAAATGAGGAAGGGCTGTCAGAAGATATCTCCAAAAAGGGACATCTTGCTGGGCCTATGTCCTCTGCCCTCACTGTCACCCTGAGTATCACATCTGCCCTGGGGAGGCCCAGGGACCTGTGTGGCCAGGCAGAGCTAGCCATCCCATGGTGACCAAGCAGGTGGGGCCCTGCTGATGGCAGAGGTGGCCATGATATGATGAGGCAGAAGTGACCAGGCAGGCAGAGGTGGCTCTGCTGGGGTGACCATGCTGATAAGACCAAGAAAGAATGATCAGCAGATGTCACCATGCCAATGAACCAGGCAGAGGTGACCAGCAGATGTGACCATGCTGATGAGACCAGAGAGGGTTGATCAGGTACATGTGATATGCAGAGGTGGCAAGGCAGAGGTGGCTAAATGAGGTGGCCATGATGATGAGACCAGGCAGATAAAACCAGGCAGAAATGACCAGGTAGAGGTGGCCCTGCTGAGGTGATTGTGCTGATGAGATGAGGCAGGGGTGGCTGGCAAATGTGACTGTGCCAATGAGACCAGGCAGATGTGACCATGCAGGTGTGGCCCTCCTGAGGTCACCATGTTGATTCTAGGCAGATGGGGCCATGCTGAGACCAGGCAGAAGTGATCAGGCAGATGTGACCATGCAAGTATGACTGACATCCAATGCCATTGTGGGGAGCGGTGTCTGTGCCCAGCCCTGCCCTCTCCTCGGAAACCTCCTTCTGCCCATGGGAACATGCAGCACCTTCTGCAAAACAAAGCCAAAGCAAGGGCTGGGAGACCAGCAGCAGTGGAATCGCGCAGCTTCTGCATACCTGCAGCTGTACCAGAGTTATTTTTCCACCTTCCAAGCAGAGGAAAGGTTTCAAGGGGAGCTGAGATGCTGTCCAATGTATGCCAAAGGCAGCTGGCATGCTCGCCACTTCAGAAACACCAGCTGACTTGGATTTTGTGTCCTGCTGTTTTAGGCCTGGAGCCAGGATCCATCCCAAGAAAACGCCACACAATGCAATCAGATGGATGGCTCCATAACCCCAGGCCTGGCTTTGATGACATTCGTTTCCAGAGTGAGCATGAGAAAGTTCATAGAGAACACAAGTTCAGACTCAAAATATTCCACCTGCAGCAAAGCTCTTTCCAGAGGGAAACGGGTAGAACCACAGCACTTGTACCTCCGCTGTGTCAAGGGTGTCCCCAGGATGGGTTCTTTGGTCATTTTGAGCTGCATTTTGAGTGCTGTTCGCACTGTTCATGCTGTGGAAAGGCAGGAACCTGGCTGTGTGGATCTGGCTTGGCTCCTCTTGATACACATATCCAGGGTGTCTCCTGCCACAGCCCCAGGACACCCCTGATGTGGTGTGTGATGCTCAGTGAGGGCATGGAGAAACCCCATCCAGCCATAGCAGGGTGCCTTTCCCTTTCCCTTTCTCTTTCCCTTTCCCTTTCCCTTTCCCTTTCCCTTTCCCTTTCCCTTTCCCTTCCCTTCCTTTTTCTCCTCTCTTCTCCCTTATTTTCTATGCTATCCTATGCTATCCTATCCCCTCCCATTCTGTTCTATCTGGTCATGTTCTATTCTGTGCTAATCTAATATCTTGTATTCCACTTCATTCTATTCCATTTCATGCTATCCTATCCTTTTATATCCTATCCTATTCCATTCCACCCCATTCCATCCTATTATATTATTTTCTACCCTATCCTGTTCCATTCCATCCTATTCTAATATTTCCTATTCTATCTTTTCCAATTCTTTTCCATTCTATCCCATTCCATTCCATCCCATCCTATCCCATCCTATTCTATTATTCTCTAAGCTCTCCTCTCCTTTTCCATTCTAGCCCAATTCATTCAATCCTATCCTGTTCTAGTATTTCCTGTCGTATCCTACTGTAACCTATCATATCCTATTGTATCCTATCCTATCCTGTCCCATTCGATCCCATTCCATTCCACTCTATTATTTATATTCTATCCTATCCTATCCTATCCTATCCTATCCTGTCCTATCCTATCCTATCCTGTCCTGTCCTGTCCTATCCCGTCCCATCCCATCCCATCCCATCCCACCCCATCCCATCCGCAGCCGGCATGGCGCTAGGAAAGCCGGTCCCCGCATCCCAGCGCCCGTGCGCAGCGCGGGCTGCCCGGAGCCGGTCACTGGTTCCGCTGCTGCTGCCCTGGCCCTCGGTTCCCCGGCGCGGTGCCCGGTGCCGGCAGGTGCCGCTGTCCGTCCGGCGCTGGAGCGGGGCGGCGCCACGGGGGCCGGCCAGGGGCCGGCGGCGGGCGGGTACCGGGAGCGGGCGGTGCGTCCGTCCCTCCCGCCGCGGCTGCCAGCGCCGCCGGCACCATGGGCTGCTGCTGCCGCCTCCTCCTCGCCCTCTTCCTCCTCCCTTCAGGTAAGCGCGCGCCGCCGCACCGGGATATCACGGGGGGAAACGGGGACCACTGCGATAGGGACAGGGGGAAGGCAGCCCCCTCCTCGCCGGGGACAGCGTCCTGGCGGAGGCAGGATGCTTCCCCCGCACCGGTCCCATTCGTGCCACCCGTGCCCACAGGCGCCCCGACACCAGTGAGGCCGGGTGAGGGGCGTTTCGCCCCTCTTTGCTTCGCGCCAGCCCTGTAGATGGGTCCTCGGCTGGCAGGGGGACAACTTCAGGGGACCCCAGCATCTCCTCGCAGGGAGTCCTCCCTGCCCGGCTGGAGCTCAATCCCCTCAGCCTTGCAACCCCCTTCCTATCACGGTCACTGCTTTGAAGGAGCTTTTATCTCTCACCCTGGCCTTGAGCGGAGGCTTCTGCACACCCAGTGACCAGCTAAAGGCATCTTCCCCCCAGCAATATCAACCTCCCCTGTCCCACAGAAACACCCAATTCAACATCCTTCCCCCACTAAGACAGGCAGGGGAGACAGCTTGATCCCTGGCTGGCATGACAGTGACCGCTTTCAGATGACAGCATGCACAGGTCATCCCTTCTGTCCAGGCTGGGGTTTTAATAAACAACAAGGAGAGCTGCTTGCTCAGAAACATGGAAAACACACTTGCATAATCAGGTGACGGGGACACACACAAGGAGAAAAGCATTAAGCAAAACTGTTGTTATTAAATTGCTCTTGCTTGCAGCAGATTGATGTGACATGTCCCCAAAACAGCAGCTGGGGAGGCCACATCTGCAGGAGCAGCAAACCCTCATCCTGGGCCGTATCACCTTTCCTTGTTGAGGGACCCTGCTAGTGGAAGAGAAGGAAGAGCTGGCTATATCCTTCTCCTCAGAAAAGGGGACTTTGCACAAGCTCTTATTTCTGTGCTTTCCCAGCAAGTGCATTTGCGAGGGAAGAGGATGAGCCTACATTTCACTCCACAGGGATGCTGCTCGCCTCATTCACAGTGGCCCCAGTTTGGTCACTGCTTTCACAAGCCTCGGCTGGGAGTCAGCCCTTGGCCACTTTGGGGTTGGAGGCGGGTTTTTCCCAGCGCCCAGGCCAAACCCAAAGCTGTTCCCACGACCATCCCTCTCTAAAGCACCAACACCAGCAAAGCTTGGCAAAAGACCCAGGAAAAATTTCCCTGGAGTACAACCCTGTGTCTCTCAGGCTGCTCCCAAACACTCTCCGAGCCCCAGATCCTTCAGATGCTTTCTATGACTTTTTTTTTGTCCCCATATAAAAAAATCTGTATTTATCACCCACGAGAAAACAATAAGCATGATTTAAATACGCTTCGAGCTCATTCTTTAGGACTGAGTGATAGAGAGGACGTCACTGGGCAGGACTAAAATAAGACTGGGCTTCGCCTGGCCACGTGATTAAATAATAGCATCTCACACAAGGAAGTTTTCATCCTGTTATTACTTCTCACTCTGGATGTCATTTCTAACCTGCTTTGCTGCCCCGACATAATGCCCAGCCCCAGGCCGATTTTCCCCTTTAGAAATTTGCTTTGCTCTGAGAAGCTGAGGCATTTTAAGGTACTCGCAAGAGGCAGCTTTCAGCTTTAAAGGCTTTGGGTGCTTCTGCAAGGAGCCTCCGGGGAGGAAAAGCTGCTTCTTGGGGGGTCTCTGGGCCTGGCACCATGGGCTACTCTGAGCTGCCATGAAGGAGATGGAGCTTTGAGCACTCCCAGCCCCACTTCCCAATATATGAGCTGAAGGAGAGGGGAGATGGGTAATTAATTATCTCCTCTCCCAGCCTAAATGAGCAAACTACAGCTTTGGCCTCTATAGCAGAGGATGTGCAAAAGTTCCTCTGCTGAACCCAGTTGCTTCCCCTCCTGTGGAAGGCTGGGATGGGGCTGATGCTGCTGACAGCTGCTCCTAGAAGCAATAATTAGCAGCTAGCCAGGAAAATGATTTAGCTGGTGCATTGTCACTTGGGCAGACCTACTCTTTGACACAGGCCTGGCCAGCTCAAGAACCATATCCAAGATATCCACTTGGGAAAAGGCATTGTGAGGGGGCCCAAGCCCAAGGGCATGTAGGCTCATCTGCCAGTTATCAGCCCCAAGAGCTGACAAGTGGTTTCTCATCCTATGATGTAACATCCCGGGGAAATAAGCACAGCATAACACATATCTGCATGTTCCAAAAATACAACATGCAGTATTAAAGTATGTTTTATTTATATCAAGCAAAAGTCATTTTAGAATAAGCTGGTGCTGTCAGCTACTGCTCTTAATGAGGGCAAAAGCTCCCAGCAATCAGCAAAAGCCACCATACGAGGTGACAGCCTGCCAGCCCACCCCAGTGGGGACACAGGCCTTGCCAGCAGGGATTCTCCAGGATCACAGAGGCTTTCCACCCCAGGTCCTCATCAGTCACCTCTGGCTGCATCAGTTGACCAGTAGCCACAAGTCACTCTCAGAAGGAAAAAAAAAGCTGTGAAGACTCCTCTTCATGTTCTTTTCTGTCATAATGTCATTGCAGCTTCAGGATCAAGGACTTCATGAGTAGAATAATTAAGCAACACGTGGTGTTGAGGTGGGAATATAATGGTTTAGTTGTGTGGAGGGTGGTGTGGACACCCAGCTCCACAGCTGTTGTAAAAAATAGGTTTGTTGTACAACCAACAGCCCTTGCTGCTGGGTTTGGACACGAGAGCAGAGAGTTGCCTGAGGAGGATGTGAACACTCACCCCAGGCAGGGGAAGAGCAGGTGATAGGAACCATGCAAGCAACCATCTTTACTTTACAAGTTGACATTATCATTTTTAGCTGTGAGGAGCAGAGGATGCAGGGTGGCGAAGCTGTCCATCTGGTTCCTCAAGAGCAATCTGCCTGCCACAGCTTTCCTCAGGGTCTGAAAAGTGCTCAGGAGCGAGCCAGGTCCCTGTGTTAGCTCGTCCTGCTATGCAATAACCTGGAAAAGAGCAACTCCCAAACCAGGCCAAAACCCAACAGCCAGTGAAGACCTTGCTTGGACCCTCTCCATGACAGCTTGCCTGAAGCCCCCAACTTTACGTGTTTGGCCACATGGATTCTGCTCTTGCCTTTTGCAAAAAGCAGGACATACATCTACAAGAGATGTTGGTACAACCCCACCATCCACAGAGGTGTGTACAGATAGGCTTGCTCAGCAGCAACTGCCAGGGGGTCTGCACCCTCAAGGAGAGGTGCCAAGGGACATTCCCAGGGTTTCCTGGTGAGTTGCATGTTTGGGACAGCATCACCCCCAGAGATGGGGCTTCTGGATGGTGAGGGACACATGGAGATAGCATATCCATTTCCATCGCATAGCTGTTTCTCTGGGCTACAGAAAGCTTCAGGCTCCTGAGCAATTAGACCTAAACCACTTAACTGCCATGCAGCAGAAGAAAACTAATCATGCAGGAAACCAGGCTGGCTTGCCAGCAAATCAGAGCAAATGCAGATTTATTTGATCTGATGGCCTTGGCTTCTTTATGCAGCCCCTGGAGTGCTTTGCCTTTTACCTGTTGATGTTTCTGGCCCCTGTTTTTCTCACTTGGTTTCTTCCTCCTCTGACAACTGGTTTTATACCAACACAACCTGGCATGGAAAAGAAAGGAGATACAGCAGGAACCAAGCAGGCAACAAGGAAGCAGCACATCACCCAGGGGTGCTCTTGCTCCTACTAACATTCTAGGTCACTAGCACACATATGCAGTGGTGGAGCTTTGCTGCAGGCCTGGAGACCAACCTTGTTGGCCCTGATTTACTTACTGAAGCTCAACAGCAGACAGAGATGTCACCAAGAGTTACCATTTCCCAGTACCAGCCTAACAAGGTGTTCCCTCTGGGGTAGCCTGGAAAGCTTGTGAGGGCTTGAGACACTGCTTAGACCCTGCAGAGCTGCTCCCAGACCACCCCATCATCCTTATTTCTCAGACATAAAAAGGCAGGGCCCTCCCAACAGTGTCCTAAAAGGGCACAGACCCAAGGTCAAAGTCCAAAACTACCACCACATCCTCCCTGTTGCTTCTCCCCTATCAGTACAGAGCTTAATCAGACCCTTGTGTAGTGCAGATGGGGCTCTCCAATTAGAGAGAAGAGACATGAATGCCATCAAAGCCCAGATCATATGGTGATAGAGAAGGTGACGCAGCCCAGTGCTGAACAGCTTGTAGAACAAGTTTACCCCTAAGCAACAACTGGTTTTATTTAACCTTAGTCACCACAAGACGACCTTTTGCCATCCACAGCTAGATACTAGCAATTTTATAGCTGAGAAGCAATAACAAAGTTACACCTGAGCAGGAACAAGAGGGAAGGGAACTGCAGAAGAGCAGCGCAAGGTTTGAGAATTCCCAGCCACAGAAACCAAAACCAAGCCAGCAAGGTCATGAACAGGAAGTCCTCACCCTATATTTAAACATAAATTGTTTTACTGCTCTGCATCATTAACCCTGGTAATAAACCAACGCATGCTGCAGGACCAGAGGAGTTAGGGATACTCTATCATCATTATTTGGGGAGAACCAGGAAAATGTAAGACTTGAAGAAGGTCAAAGAAGATCGTACACCACCAAAAACATCACCCTGAGTAAAAGACACCAGCTTACCTTGGCATTTAGGGCCCAGATGCTCCTCTAAAACTGTTAAAAGAGAAACTCACTCCTCTGCACGTGCTTTCCTCTATGAGTACCATTGCTCATCAATTATCTCCCATGTTTTATCCCATTATCTTACTAATACAGAAAGGACAGACCTCCAGCCACCAGCTTTTATATCGGAGCCCCTAATCACCCTGGTGAGACTCACCTGGGACACCCCCCCCCCCCCAACATCCCTCTGCCTATTGGGCCGGGACCTCTATTTAAACTCAGGCTTGGGTCCTAGCTTCTTGTCTCAACTGTGTGGTAGATAAATGTGTCTATAGCGTTGGGTGATTCTTGGACCTGTGCTGTGTGTAGGTTTGTCTCTAATCCATTCTTTTTCATTTTGGGCTGATGTTCTGATGCTGCTTCTAGTTGTTTCTTGTGCTGGTTTTAAACTTAACATGCTCCTTAATATCCACATAGCAGAGGATAGGGTAGTATCAATATCCTTTTTTATCTTGCCTAGATAGATCTTGTGGGTATATAATGAGATGACTAGGGATTTCTGATTTAGAGAATAGTATAATGTTTATCTGAATAATACTGATGTTACAGAAACCTTTACCCTTGGGGCTTTGGTATTTAGAGGAGCACCACCTTTGGCAGCTGGGGTACAGGTGCCCCAGCTAATTCAGGCTGAGAGCAAGCATGTGGTGTGTGGGTTAGATCATCTGGTGCTTCTGACAGTTATATCATATGAGATGAGTTATGAAGTGAAGCTTGTTAAAAACTCCATTTTTGCTCTATCAGTGGATGTTTGTTTGCTGTGGAATGGCTGCTCTATGTGATGTCATTCACTTGGGCTAGAGATGTGTTCGGGGGGGGGGGGGGGGGGGTATGCTGTTTCAGCTGGCAAAACAATTTTAAAGCTTTACTGTGATTGCTTGTAGAGTGCTTAAGAAATGCATTGCTGGAGAGGCTGCCAGGCCAGGCAGCTGTTTCCCAAGCATTCAGCTTCTGCGAGACTGAGACCTTCACCTTTCTGTGGCTTTCAGAAGCCAGAAGAGCATGCAAATAAGGGAGGGAGATAACCCATCAGGGGGAGGGTTCATTCCTTGGGTTGACAGGTGATTAGGGTTAGTATTCCTTAAAAGCAAGGTATTTGAATTACAGGGGTTTGGGTTTTATGTTCTTGGCTCTTTTCCATATTCCGAGATAAGACAACCTAGAAAAAGGACCTTTCATGTGGGGTGTGAAGTGTGACACTGCTGTTATTCTAGTTGCTTACCTTGCCCTGGCAGTTCTCTGCCTGCCTCTCCTCTAAGCTGGATTCTAGCAGGGTGGTCAACTGCCTTAAGTGAATTAGGCAATGGGAAGATTCCTCATGGCCAAACTATGTTTGGCATCCTTTGACAGCTAACATTCTCCAGTCCCTCTGACAACCCCTGTTTGGGGCTTTTTTAGCCTTTGAAGCCATGTGGTCCTGAAATAACTTTTTCTAGTCACTTCTTTTGTCCCTTATTCCAGTGCATTGTTCTGGTTCACAGCTGCTCCTCCTACAGTCCAGGTGCTGGACAAAGAAGCTCTTCTTTCCTTTTGCAGATGTGTTGGTAGAGGAATGGGCTTGCAGACAAGCTGGGTGTTCTTCTGGCCATCCATCTCCCTGGGGACAGGCAACACTAACCTGTGAGGCAGGCTGCCCATGAGCAGTGGCATGAGGACTTTTGGAGCTCTCAGCCAGGTCATCTTTGTCCCTTCATCCTAACCTGGGTCAGAAGCAGCCTGCATTGCCTTTGGGATGAGTAGCCTTTGGCTGTGCTTACTTTCCTGGGAGATGTCCCTGTGATTTGTGACTTGGCTGGGAGCACTCAGACAGTGGCCAAGGATTGTTCCTGCATCCAGTTTTGGCTCACCTTCTCAGTTTATACCCCTTAGATGTTATTGGAAACTTCCTGACTCACCCTGGCTAGCAGCACTGCCAGCTTTTTGAGGTCCCTATTGGTTTGCCTCCAATGTCCAAGCAGCTCATGAGAGCTCTGCTGACCCAAAGCACAAACAAGCAACATGGGATGCCAGGGTGGCTTTACAAAGAGCTGATCTTGGTGTCTAAAAGACTGGAAGCATCCACATTTAGACAGGTAATAAATTTTCAAGGTGCTAACAGTCCTGGGAGGGTTCTGATGGGCTTGATGTAACAGCAACATGTTGTGCTATGGGCTTCAGAGGCTGTCTGCTACCTGTTGGACCAGTCACATCTGCAGTGTGAAGTGTGGGGGAGAGAAGATTATTTTACAGAAATACAGACAGATAGAATGATTTGGGTTGGAAAGGACCTTAAGATCATCCAGTTCCAACCCCCTGCCAAGGGCAGGGGCCCTTCACGCTAGACCATGTCACCCAAGGCTCTGTCCAACCTGCCCTTGAAACATGTTGAACCCTGATCTGCAGAACATTAAGAGTGAAGGGGTGCTTGGTGTGGGTTTTTCAGCTCTTGCAGTGCCCTCTACTACCACATGACATCTGATTTCTGCCTTGGCTTAACCATCTCCAGTGCAGACATCTTAAACCAGTTGAGTGCTGTGCTTGGGGCATGCATGAGCTGCGAGCTTTAGCAAGGGGATGCCAGGTCAGCTGGGCACCTTCAGGCAGCACTGCAGAGGATGAGGGGTTTGCTGCTGTGATAGCACTTGCAGCAATGGCACCTTGTGCCACTGCTGATGGGACAGGCTGACTTAGTGATGGTGTAGCTTGTGTTGGGGGGGGAATAATCCAATTATCTGAGGTCAGAAGCTTTTTATATCAATCAAGATGCATTGCTGATATGCCTTTCCACACATGCATCTCTAAAGCAGACCTTCTGCTCTCCAGCAGAGACCATGCCTCCTCTTGCATATTGCCCAGCATGGCTGAATGGTGTTAAAACCTTGAGAAAGACCCTGTTGCTCATTGCTCCTCATGAATCCAGGCAGCGATTTCATGCCCCACCCTCAGCCATGAAAACAAGTAGGCTGTGCTTTCCTGGGATTGTGGCTGATGGTACCTTCAGCTCTTGCCATGTTGTGGGCTACCACTACCTGCTAGAAAGGGCATTTGCACCTTCTTTCCCTTCAAAAAGGAGATGGAGATTTTGCATCATTCCTTCCTCCCACTCTGCCACCTATATGGCATGGCAAATCATAGAATGGTTAGGGTTGGAAAGGACCTTAAGATCATCTGGTTTTGGTTTATGGTATTGCAATGCCTGAACTGAGCAAGGGAGCCACCAGCTTCTGGAGAAGGAGGGGGCAGGAGGAGTGGGGACCCACTGGGTTTGTTGGAGGGACCTAGTACTGTGGGCAGGCTTTCTCCTGATGAGATGCTGTGGGTAAAGCCAAGCTGTGAAAACCAGTGCATTCATCTGCACTAGTGGCTTTTAAGCTCAGGATTATCACAGCAATGCAGCTCAAGTTCACATGCCAGTAACTCCCAGTTATTAACTAGGAAGCCTGAGATGTGAGGTCTTGGGATGATGAAACATCAGTGTCTTGATGACAGCAGAAGCTTTGCAGAAGCCTGGTGTGCATTGGGAAGGAGGAGGGGGGATGGCTGGGTGCTTCCCCACCACTGTGGTTGGGCTGGGTGTGGAAACCACAGGTGCTGAGCCTGGTGGCTTATTTGGTAACCAGATTCCAGCTTGTCATCCATCTCCCCTCCCTTATTTTAAGGTCTATCAGTCTTGGGCCTCAGCAGACCGAGAGCCTGAGGATAGTGAAAGCTCGGAGGCATGTCCAAGTATGTGTCCCTAGGAGAAGAGCACTTAAGGCATTAGACCCTGCTGCTTGGGAAATGCAGATACCCATCAGTGTCTCTATAGCACCAGAAAAAAGAAATACGGGCTCAAGTGTGCCAGGGACTTGCCATGGGCTCTAGCAGAAGCCATGCCCCAGAGCTGGTTTTAAATCCCTGGCCAAACATATGTTTGCAGTTCCTAGACAAAAAATGCCTTCAATTAGAGGTGTTACATACCCAGTGCTTGCTGCAGTGAGCTGGAGATCCTCAGCTGAGATGTTTCTTCTGCTGTCCTCCTCCACTGAAGCTGTGCAGGTTGAGTGAAACCATATTAGAAACCTTCAGTCTTCTGTTGGCACTCATGGCTGAAAACACCCAAAAATATGAGTTACTGAGTCCCTGTTCACTGATGCTGAATCCCACCGCTTCTATACACAGGCACTGTTTCCATCTCTCCTTCAGCATGAGGTGCTGTCAGTGTCCTGGGTGCCTTGTGGCTCTCCTGGGTACTTGACAGCATGGGGCTTTGCAGAAGGAACCATGTGTTGCCCAGCCGCTACTCCCACATTTGAGTCCCTCCCATGTTGCTGTTTCTTGGAACAGCTGCATGGTGGGGCAGGAACAACCCTGTTAGATCGAAAACATCTCTAGTGCAGCTTGGGTCACTTCTTGCTGGGTGTCACCTGCATGGGTAGCATTTCAGTTTGACTTTTGGGGGACATCAGATTTGGCTGTGGTAGCTGACAACATCTTGCGAGGTGGCTTGGTAGCAGGGAGGAGACCCTTGTGCACCCACCAGTGGTACCCAGCCATGTATGATCCACAAGCGCCTACTCACAAAATGCTACCATGATAGCTGTCTGTGCACTCACTGATGTCGTTTAACACTTAGATAAGTACCAAGCTGCTGTCTCTGGAACTGGAGTGAGAGTTTGGCTTCAACGTTCCCACAAACCAGCATTTTGCTGAGTGTTTTCTTTTGTCCTCCATACTCAAAATTGGAAGGGACCTTAAAGCTCATCCAGTTCCAACCCCCTGCCATGGGCAGGGACACCTTCCACTAGAGCAGGTTGCTCCAAGCCCTGTCCAACCTGGCCTTGAATACTACCAGGGATGGGGCAGCCACAGCTTCTCTGGACAACCTGTGCCAGGGCCTCACCATCCTGACAGGGAAGAACTCCTTCCTGAGATCGTGCCTCAGTCTCCCCTCTGTCAGTTTAAATCCATTCCCCCTGTTCTGTCACTACATGCCCTTGTGAAGTCCCTCTCATTGTGGCTTGTTTGCACCAGAGCAAGTTCTTGCTCTTCCCAGTGCTGGGCTTGGGATGCTCTGGGGCTGTAAATAAATGAATGCATGGGAATAAAAATCCTTCCTTATGTCATTTAGTGTTGGCATGTTCTTCCCTCTGCCCAGCTGTGCCAAGGCAGTTAGCTGCTAGCGCTGGCCCAGTGCTGAGTTTAACTCTGGAGAGCAGAAAGAGGGGGAGGGGAATGCCCCAGCAATCTGCTGGTGGGGTCAGAGGGAAAAATGACTCATCTTCATGCTAAGAAACAGAGACAAATGAATGAATGCACAAGGAAATGGGGGGAGAGGAGAAAGAGGCGTCTTGTGTTATTCCCAGCTGTGCTGTGCTTGCTGCTGAGGAGGTGATTACTCCCCTGCTGCTGTGCTGGCTATTGGGAGGAGATGCTGGGAAGCTGTAGGGGATGCTGGGGAATGGGGGGATCCTAACCTTGGGGAAAACCAGTGCTGACCCATGCTGGGGAACTGGTCTGGTTTAAACCTCACCTCTAGCTATGCAGATAATTTCCCATCTCTTTTAGATGGCTCTTGGTATTTTAAGTAACAATAAACATATTTCCATCTTCATCCTAAAACCCCGAGTTGCCCCAAGGATTTCCTGGTTATTCATATGCCTTTGTCTCATTCCTAGGACTGGGTGATGACTCCACACCATCGCCCCTCACCCTTACCAGCCCTCCCTTCCTCTCAGAGGGGATCCCAGTGGCACCGGGCTCCAGGGATGCAGCTCTCCCCACATCAGCTCCTGGCCAGCCCATATCCATGGAACTCACTGAAGAAAGGCCATCATCCTCATTCACCCCTGCAGCAGCACTGTCCCCTGCTCCTGCCTCCATCACTGTGGCTGTCACCACCACCATAGCAGACAGGTCACCTGTAGTCTCCAGCCCTAGCTCCATGCCAACCACCTTGGAGACAGCCCCAGGTCTTCGGATAGCAAACACTATGGACATGGCAAGAGGCACGGTGGATCTGGGGGCAGCTCCCAACACCACGGGTATAGCTGCATCCTCCTCCTCCCTCCCCACCAGCGACCCTGGGACAGTCTTGTCCCCAACACCTGTCCTCATGAGCCCCACCACAACCCAGCCACCTGTGCTGACCAAGGAGGTCCCTTCCCCAGGGACAGTGCCCATGGTGTCAAGCCTGGCCGTGGAGCCAACGTCACCCCCAGTGACTCTGACAAGCCCCATGGCAGCAGAGGAATCCACGGCCACCGGTAAAACCACCCTCTCCACTGGAATCACTATGGAAGAGGTGCCACGTGCCTTGAGTGCAGGTGAGCACCACCACCTCCATATCGCAGAATGGTTTGGGTTGGAAAGGACCTTAAGATCATCCAGTTCCAGGCCCCTGCCATGGGCAGGGACACCTCACACTAGACCAGGTCGCCCAAGGCTCTGTCCAGCCTGGCCTTGAACACCGCCAGGCACGGAGCATTCACAGCTTCCCTGGGCAACCCATTCCAGTGCCTCACCACCCTCACAGTAAAGAACTTCTTCCTTAGATCTAACATGAACTTTCCCTGTTTCAGTTTAAACCCGTTACCCCTTCTCCTGTCGCTACAGTCCCTAATGAAGAGTCCCTCCCCAGCATCCTTCAGGCCCCCTTCAGATACTGGAAGGCTGCTATGAGGTCTCCACGCAGCCTTCTCTTCTCCAGGCTGAACAGCCCCAACTTCCTCAGCCTGTCTTCATATGGGAGGTGCTCCAGTCCCCTGATCATCCTCGTGGCCCTCCTCTAGACTTGTTCCAACAGTTCCATGTCCTTTTTATGTTGAGGACACCAGAACTGCACATACTACTCCAAGTGAGGTCTCACAGGAGCAGAGGAACAGGATCACCTCCTTCTGTCAACCTCAAGGTGCTTAGACAAGAGGGGCAGAGCCCCCCCCAGAACTGGAAGGGAAGAGGTGGCCAACTTCCTGAGAGCACCATTTAGCAATAGCTGTGCTTTCCTGGAGGAGTCTATGTCATCTGCTCCACTGATGGAGACAAGGAGTGATAGATACCAAACCGGTTCCCCAGAGATGTGAATACAGTTCTTACTTGAAAATTTGACTTGAAACACTTAAGGATGGGAGGAAACAACTGGCTGGGTAGTGGGTGCTGGCTGACTTAGGAAAACGTAGGTTTTACTTCTCCCTCCTGGAGATGTCAGTAAGCTGACACTAGCTTTCACCTGTCCTCTTCTGCAAGCTCAGAGAGCTTGAAAGTGCTTCATAAGGTCAGAAAATGGAGGGACCTGGGGCATTTGCTACCCTTGGCACAGTAGTAAATGCTGTCTGAGGCTGGGAGGAGCATCAAGAAGCAAGTCCATAGTCCTCAACCAAAGCCCAAAGCCAAAATCCACCTGCCCTGCCTTTATGGGAAGCAAAAATATAGGGGTGCCAGCATCCTTTTGGGAAGCAGTAAGGGAATGTGCCTCCCACCAGAGATAGCTGGCACAGGTGTACTGTGTGGGGTGGTTGCGATGGTGATGGGGTGAGTGCTGCTCTTTCTGATGGACTCTCCACAGGGAGCATCGTGGCCATAACCGTGACAGTCATCGTGGTGGTGGTGCTGGTTTTCGGGGCAGCAGCATACCTCAAGATCAGGTAAAGTTGGTTTTGTGGTGCCTGCCTGGCTTGAACTGGGGCCCCCCCTTCCCTCTGAGGCTGCACTCACAAGGATGATGCTCAGGGGCAAAGCCCTGGTGAGATGCTGTCCCCAAGTTCCACAGGGTGACATGCGGCCTCTATACCTGCCACATCTGCATTGTCTACCACTACCACTTTTCACATTGTCTACATGGAAAAGCAGAGTTTTTCTTCCTCATTTTACAACAGCCTCACTCAAATGCTGGAGATGCTCTTCAGCACAGTTGTAACTAGTAATTATCCCTGGGGCAAGCTGCTGCCATGGGTCTTGCTGTGATTTAGACAATTAACAGCAGCACAGCCCAGTGTTGAGTATCTGTAATGAGGCTTTGCTGACAACCAAAACCAACAAAGGTCTTGTTTTCATAGAATCACAGACTGGTTTGGGTTGGAAGTGACCTTAAAGCTCCTTCCACTAGACCAGGTTGCTTCAAGCCCTGTCCAACCTGGCCTTGAGCACTGCCAGGGATGGGGCAGCCACAGCTTCTCTGGGCAGCCTGTGCCAGGGCCTCACTACCCTCACAGGGAAGGGCTTCTTCTTTATATCTAATCTAAATGTCCCCTTTGTCAGCTCTGTTCCCTCTGTTTTATTTCCCGGCATGTCGCAGTATGGTTCAACAGGGGCAAAATCTCACCTGGGCTTATTTTCTCTAATGCTGTTCTTGTTAAAATATCCCAAAGCTCAGTTTAGTGAGGACTTGCATGCATTTCTTTTTCACCCCATGGTTAACTAATAAACCACCAAAGCAACTGGTAACACTGGGTGGTTTGCTTTCTCTTGGCAGGCACTCCTCCTATGGCAGGCTTCTGGATGACCACGACTACGGCTCCTGGGGCAACTACAACAACCCTCTCTATGACGACTCCTAGCAGGGATGAGGAGAAAGAATAAATCCTTAATTTATAAATGCTTCCTCAGCAGAACATCCACTGTCAAAGAGATGCCACTGCCATGGGCTGGATTATGGTGGGTCTGACAGATGACGGGCAATGGAGAGCGGGCATGCGGTGCCCACAATAAACCTGAATTTTGGCCTTTGCGGAGAAAACTCTGGGTCATGGCACACTTTAGCCACTTGGTTTGTAGGCAGGGAACTGAAATTCCCCAAGTGAATGGGGGGAGTAAAGGGAGAGGATGGAAGTTCAACCGGTGCCATGGCATCCTTTGAAATACTGCTGCCCCATGGCCAGAGCCAGCAGCATGAAGGGGCCTCCTGTGCTCTCACGTGCCCCTTCCTCCAACCTCCCTTCATCACCCTGCTGGGGAATCAGTCCTTCACCTTGCCAGGGACCAGGAGCAGTTATGGGGCTGCTCCATCACCAGTCCCTTTTCCTGCAGGTGCTTCTGGACACAAGTTTATAATTTCATTTTTTTTCCGTTTAATTGTGTTCCTTCCACCACCCAACACAGCCTGAGAGCCTGTGGGAAGGTCCTTTGACCATGCACACTCCTGGGCTGAGTGATGCCGTATTTCACACACAGCACCCCAGCCCATATCCCTTTCTGCCCCTGATCAATAAATCAGCACTAAATGATGTTGCAAAGGTTTGGGCATCCCAGCAGACCCGTGGCGCTGGTCACCATCACTCCAGAGGCTGTAGATAAGCTTCTTCCCACAGACCCTCGGCATGATGGTGAGACAAGTGAGTTTCTGGAGGGATTGTGGGGAAGGCAGCAGCACCCCTGCACAGGTAGAGGTGCACCATTTTGCAGCAGTTTATGTCCCTGCTCTTAATTATTGACAGTTTTCTTGCATAGGGAGGTCCATTGGAATATCCTCCAAGATACCTCCTTGCTAAATCTGAAGCAGCACAGCATTTACTGCTAGAAGGAAGGCAAGCGAGCAGAAGCCATCATTCCCTATGGGATGCAAACAGCTCTCACCTGAAACGCAGGCCGTGGTTTGCTTTGGGTTAATCAATGGTGCAGGCTGGGAAACAGGCTTTGCCATTCACTCAGAGTCCTGGGGAACATCAAAGCTCAGGGCATTTGCATGATGCATCACCTCTTGATTTTCAGCAAGCAAGAGCAATAAATGCAGCCAGCACTTTAACAACCACCTGAGAATGTCAGGAGAAATGAGGACATTGCCTCCAGCTCCACTTCCCAAAAGGAAATGTAATTGTTATGCATTTTCCTTTTCCTTCCTGGCCTTTTATTAGACTCCTTTTAAACACATCCTTTCATCTCTCTTATTATATTAGTGTTGGTCAGGTGGCTGAAGCCAGGGTCAAAACAGAATAAAGCAGTGGATGGTTGCTGCATCTTCA